CCTGCATGTAGGAGTGTCTGCTCTCAATTCAGTCCTGCCTCTCTGTGAATGTGCCTGGAAGTAGGTCTCCCCACCCAGAGATGATAGCAGCTGGGACTAGATGCCCGAACTGAAACAGGGTGGTGAAGGCATTGATGATGTGGCCTTAGGCTGTGTAGAGATTCAAGCAAAGGGTCCTTTATAGCCAGGGCACCAAGTATTTGCAGTCAGATGTGGGAGAATAAGAGCCACAAAGTTTTAAATCTTTACTACTTGTGTGAACAGCTTGAAAGACCTTTAAGTGAAGCTCTAGGGATCAGGACACATCATCCTATCTTAGAGCTCCGAGTACCTTGGTTGTTGTAGACCTGAATAAAGGGGAATATGGCATGGAGAGAATCCTCATGAGAACTTTATGCCCTCAGCTCTATGTCCCATTAAATGTCTGGCTGTAAGAGTATTCATTGTGCTCAGGACCCTTCAATATCAAGGCAGAGGAAATACAAACTACACCTACCAAAGTGGTGGGTTTGCGATCAGGTTGGTAAAGCGCGTGACTTATCTAGCTCGTTTTCTCTCTAAAAGAGCTGCTCAGCCATCTAAAGGCCGAGGTCTCTCCCTGACCTCACTGCATGCTCACAGATGAACAGTAAATCTGTCAGATAATACAGACTTACAGTGTTCTGGAAAAGCACAGTGAATTGTTACTTTTTTGAAGCTGAAAATATAGGAGTAACCGAAAACAGCATCAGCTGAGCTCTGAGGTTAAATGGCAACATACTGAAAATGGCAACCCAAAAAAAAAACCCCAAACGGGTTAAGGCTTCATTTAGGGAAACACAGGCAGAGATTTGAAGTGCCCAAGGTGAGGAAATTTGCACTGCATTAATTGTTACACTTGGAACATAATTAATGATAAACTGCTTTTAACTGTAGTTTGTGAAACATCCGGTGACACAAAGGTGTCTGAGGCTGGGTGGTCCTAGGTATTGGTGCATCCCCTGCTTATAATAGGGGTAAAAATAAAAATCATTGCACATGTGTAGTGGTTGGCACTGCTCCACCCCCGGAATCTTGAGTTCATGCGAGCTTTATTCGACGCCCCTGAGCAGCCTCGTGTCCTCGGCAGTGTAATGGCTCCTCATCCCAAACGCGGGCCATAGTCTCCTTCGGGCTGCTCCTGAGGCGCCCTGCACACAAAGCCAATTAACTCCACTGTGGAGAGAAAGCTTGGCCGGCAGTGCGGCGGCTCTGGAGCGACCTGAGTACAGAGGAGAAGCTTGGGGCGGGACCTGACGATACAGAACGCCGCGAAAATGAGTGGAGTGACTCCGGGCAGGGTCTCTCCCACCGGTGACCCCAGGGAGCCTCAACCCCAGAAGGGGCGGCCGCCGCCGAGGCGAAGGAAGCCCGCACACGGCGGGAACCACGACGGAGCCAGCCCCGCCGCCATCCCCCGCCTCGCCCCGGCCCGTGGGGGCGGGGCCTCGCCGCTCCCCGCCTCGCGCGGCCGGCCCCGCCCCGGCGCGCCATTGGTTGTCGCTGGGGCAGAGCGGCCGCCCCGTCTGCCGCCATTGGCTGGCGGCGTGGCCGGGGTTCCCGGATGCGGCCGCGCGGTGCGGATATAAAGGGCCGGGGGAAGGCGGGAGTGGGCGCAGTTTGAATCGCGGCGGGTCGAGTCAGTTTGGCGCTGTCGCCCGGGCTCGGTGCGTGCGGGACGCTCTCTGCTTCAGCCTTCCCCTGCGCGGCACTGCGCTCCGGTTCGCTATGGTGAGGAACCGCGGGGGTCGCTCGGGGAGCGGGCGGCGGTGCTGGGGTGCTGGGGCCGGGGCGGCTCCGTGCCGCTGATAGTGGGGGGGAAACCGCGCGGGCTCAGTGGGGGGAGGGCGGGGGCGGCCGGGGGGGCGGGGGGGTGGTCGCACGCGCAGTGGCGCCCCGGGGACGGGGGGGGAAGCGGTGGCCGCGCATGCGCGCGGGGAGCGGCCTGTGCCGCGCGGTGCGGCGGGCGGCGCGCACGCGCCTCGCGGCCGCGCGGGTGGCTCTGCGCCGGGAGGGGGGGTGGTGGAGGGGCGGGGCGCATGCGCGGTGGGGTGCGTCAGCGTCTGCTCTCCTCTTGGCATTGCCAGGCTGGTGGGAAAGCCGGGAAGGACTCTGGGAAGACCAAGACCAAAGCAGTGTCCCGTTCCCAGCGGGCTGGATTGCAGGTGAGCAGGGGCTGAAGTGTGGGTGAGTGAAAGTCAGGTTGGCCTTCCATCTGTTGGTTTGTTTGTGCAGTGTGAAACCTTCACACTCTGCTGTCTGGCTGTTGCCTGGAATGATGTAAGGATCGTAAAGCAGACATCAGCACACCCAGCTAGTTTTAGACCTTTGCATAGCTGTGCAGGGAGGAAAGTAATTCCTTTGTGGCCATTGCTATGTTTGTGCTGAGAATCATGAAAGTTGCTTATGTGACTTCGGCATGCAGTGTCTTTCTTAACTGTATTCTCAAGGTTTGAAATTCAGCCTGTGCTTCTGCCACTGGGATTCTGCTGCCCACAATGTGGTTTTGTGCAGAGCCTTTCTGTCGTCACAGCCTGTTCATACTTCTGTTATTTTCCAGTTCCCTGTTGGCCGCATCCATAGGCACCTGAAGTCTAGGACAACTAGCCATGGGCGTGTAGGAGCCACAGCTGCTGTGTATAGTGCTGCAATCCTGGAGTACCTGACAGCTGAGGTAAAATGCCTGCAAGGGGTGCAAGCAAGCTGATCAATCCCCAGAAGGCACAACAACCAGTGCCTACTGTATTTGACGTTTTGGACTGGGTTGCAAACTCTTTGTGTGCTTTGAGGCACTTCTAAAATGTCTCAAAGAGCAAAAGACCATGAAAAGTAACTCCTCTGCATTTCATGCAAGCCCTGCAGCTTGCCTTGTAGGAAAAATGCAGTGTGTGAAATAACTTTTAAAATGGGCCATTACAGCATGTCTTATCTGCTGTAGAAGATTTACTCTGTCATTGGGAAAACTAAATGCAAAGCTCCAAAGGAGGAACCCCTGGAAAAGAGACATTGTTTTCTGTTTTGGTGTTAATGGCAGTGACACTGTATTTGGAGGAGAGAATTGAATAGCTAAGACTGTGCTGTTGGTCTCGATTGTATAACTGTTGAAAAATGGTTTTGTCTCAGGTCCTTGAGCTGGCGGGAAATGCCTCCAAAGACTTGAAGGTGAAACGTATCACTCCCCGTCACCTGCAGCTTGCCATTAGAGGAGATGAAGAGCTGGATTCTCTGATCAAGGCAACAATTGCTGGTGGTGGTATGCCAATACTTGTTGTTTATGGGTGCTTGGGTGGCATGAACTCTCACAGACTTAAAGTTCATTAGTGTTGTCATTTTATTAGAAGCGTGAAGTTCAGGAAAATTGAAGAAAAACAGCATGGTCTTAACTGTTGTTCTCTTTTAGGTGTAATACCACACATCCACAAGTCTCTCATTGGCAAGAAAGGACAACAGAAGACTGTCTAAAGCATACCAGGATTCCTTGTTATCTCAGGACTCGAAGTACTTAATTTGTCCAGTGTTGGTGATTCCAGTGGACTGTATCTGTGAAACACAATTTTGCCTTTTTTTAACTTTAAGAAGCTAAAGCTCCCTTGAGCTTTCTAACAAACCAAATTTCTGCGTTGAAGTCTTAACCATATTTAAGTGTTACCATGGCTTCAAAGAAGCTATTGTGTTTGTAGTGGGTTGTAATTGAGCTGACTGTTTTTAGATTGGCTTAGGTAAAGGAAATGTTTGGTTTTGTACAGACTTTTCATCTACTAGAGTGGAAATAATAAATGTTATGTCAAGACTGATTTGTGCCTTTCATTAACTGGAAAATCTGTTCTCCACTGTGCTGCTCTTGAAGTTGTTCCAAGAGCAAGTAACTGACAGCCCTTCCTGCTGGGCTTGGGGCATCTTGAAACACAGCCTAAGAATACTGCAGTCAGTAAATGCCATGTAGTGAAAGGGCACAGGGCTTTGTCCTGTGAAGCTACATTCTTCCTAGCTGAGCCTGCTGTGCCATGTCCTGAAGTTGTCTTTAGCAGGGCACATAAAAGGCTGATGTTATTTAAGGGTAATTTTATTCAGTGGCAGCCTTCGTAGAGGGAGAGGGTCTGTCACGGAGGAGGGTAAGATAAGTTTGAAGGGATGTTTAAATTCTGTGCTTCACATAAATTCATGTTAGGGTCTGGCCTCTTACTGTTTCAGCTTGCAAAAGCTTTGGATAGACACCCACAAAAGCAGGGACTGTACTGCAGCAGCCTTTTAAATTGTGCCATGCAGCAGAAACCTCAGTAGTGGATTTCAGGGAGGTCTGGGCACACCTTCAGCTGTCCTCCACACTGCTAGTTAATTTCGTGTGGCAGAGCCCTGCCGTGTTGTGGTGACGGAAAACCCCCTTTTGTTAAGGCAGAAGGGAATGGTTACAGTGTGCGGCTGGGAGTAGCAAGCTCCCTGCCTTCCAGAACTGCAGTCAGCAGTGAAATACTGCCAATAGATTTGCTTCTGCTGAGAGCAGGCTCTTGTGTTTCCCTAAGCTCTTGGAGGCAATAATCTCTGCTGCAGCACTGTAGCTGGAAGGCGGTGACCTAGATCGGAGCCGCTAGTGAGACCCGTGCTAACCGCGCTCCTCTGGCGCTGCGGTGCTTCCCTGGACCAGCACCCGAGGGCTTCCTTGGCGGCAGAGCAGCTCTCGCCGGGCTGTATCTGATGTCACCAATTACAGCGCGCCGGTGCGAGTTGCCGCCGAGCACCGAGAGGCACAGTCAGGCTCGGGCAGCAGTGGCTCCGTGCGGGGCCGCAGTGCTGCAGCAGCGCGCCCGGTACTTTTCCATCACCGCCGGCTCTCGTGAGGGCGGCTGCGCTCCCGGCTGGGGGGATCCCAGCGCTCCCGGCCCTTCCAGCTGCTCCAGGCCGGGCAGCGGCGGAGCCCCGGGCGGGCGGGGCGGCGCATGCGCGGCCGGGCCCGGAAGGGGCGGCCGGGCTGGCGCCGGTGCGAGCGCCGCGCTGGGGCTGCGGCAGCGCCGGGGCCGCGGCGGGATGAGCCCTGCGGAGTGAGCGCAGCCCCGCCTGCCGCCCCGCGCCGCGCTCGGCGCCTCCGCCCCGCCCGCCTCCGCGCTGGCTTCGGGCCCCTTCTCTCTGCGCTGCGGCGGGCGGAGGCGGCGGAAGGAGAAGCCCATGGAGGGGAACCGGGACGAGGCCGAGAAGTGCATCGGGATCGCGCGGGAGGCGCTGGAGGCCGGGAACCGCGACCGCGCCCTCCGCTTTCTGGGCAAGGCGCAGAAGCTCTACCCGACCGAGACGGCCCGAGGTGAAGCCCGGCCCCCTCCCCGCTCCCGCTGCTGCGGCCCGGCTCTGCCGGGACGAGCCCGGACCGGCCGCGGGGCCCGCAGGAGGGCGGGCGCTCGGGGCCCTCCCTCCCCGGGGGGCCGTGCCGGGTGAGGCGAGCGGGACCCGGCCCCAGAGCCGGCCCGGGGCTGTGGCGGGGCCGAGTGTGTGCCCGGGAGCAGCTCCGGGCAGCTGCCTTCCCCCGGCAGTGCGTGGCTCTGGCGTCAGGCGCTGCGCAGGAGAGGGTTTGCCTCCCCCAGTGCCAGCGGGGATCTCCCAGGGCCGACCCGGCTCCACGCCTGCATTCCCCCTCCTCCCTAGAGCCGTCAGTAAAAGCGCGGCCGTACAGACGAGGCTTAGCCCCGATTAACATCAGGACATTTCAGGCCCCAGGCCGAGACAGGCTGACTTGGCTTCTTTTCTGTCACTGTGAGTCACCCCTCTCTCAGCTTGCAGTGAGAGCTACAGCTCCAGAGTGGACCATGTCTTCATTTTCTAATATACTTGTGGTTTGGTTTTTTTTGGGTTTGGTTCCCTCTTGGTCGTACAGCGGCCACATAGGAAATGCATGGGGGTTTACCTTTCCTAGAGAAAATGGAATATGTGGTGCCCACCAAGACTTAATTAGCTCTTCTGACTATTCTATACTAAAAAGTGGAAAAATATGTAGCAACCTTTTAGTGAAAAGTGTTTAGAAATAATTGTTTAAAAAGAATGCTAGTAACTTTCAGTGTATGTAGAACTGTTATTCCCCTGTATGTAGAACTATCTTGGAGCCTTTCTGTCACACAGTGCCAGATGTCAGCTCAAAACACCTTTGGATGCAGCAGGGACTTGTTGCGTTCCTCTGGTTCTCACTTACGTGGTCTGTGCTGTGCAAGGAGTGGGAACAACTTCAGCGCCCTGTACCACTTAAAGGCCTCAGCATTTGCCATTTCTGCAGTGGAAGTTTGAGGCCAAATCTTTGGAAGTTGCTGTGGAGAGATGCAGGGAACATTTTTGGGCCTCTTATCTCCTGACTTCTTAAATGCAAACAATAAATGAAGATTTCACTGGCACTTTTTTTTTTAAATTAGTGCTTAATTTTTCAAGTGTTTATTTTTTCTCCTACAAGACAGCATGGATGTTGCCGTATTCCCTTAAATTTCTGTGGCTTGAGAACATGACATGCATGAAAATACTTGGAGCTTTTTGGAATCTGTGTTGGTCAGGAGGCAGGAAGTCAGAGGACTTTAATTCAGCTTCTTTCACCAAGGAGAGCAAATAGCTTAGTCTGCTTCACACAGCTTGTTATTATCTTATATTTCAAAGATAAGAGTTAAAGTAACTTTCAGGAAAGAAACTGACTTGTTTTGAGCATTTGGGGGTTTTTTAAGTAGGACTGCCACTACATAATCACCATTATAAAGTGAAGAAGTGCAAGAAATAGCTGGCTAATTAGGCTATTGTCTGTAGGACACTTGTTTTATTCACTGTGGAAATTAGCAAAGTCAATCACAAATGAGGCACAGACCTGGGGAAAAGAAGATGGCCTTGTGGTAGTGGGCTGTAATCTGGGGAATTGTGTCTTCTGAAACTAAAAGCTTCACAGAATTTCTATGTGATGTTAAATAAGGCAGTTCACACCGTTTCCATTAGTGACCAGCTAATTGTTTGTGCTTCGTTTTTCAGGTATTCAGCTTGAAACAAGGGCCTGATTTGTGGAACTGGTGGGCAGTTAAAGCTCCATCTGAAGCTAAAGAGAATTGCAGATGTCCTAATACCACTGAAAAAGTTCAGGCCCTAGGCCTGATTTGAACTAGGTACTTAGAAATTAGGGGACTCTGTAAACATCTAATATCTCTGTGCTTCAGTTTTCTATCTGTGGAGGTTGTTAAATATTTTAAAGTCATCTCATTTCCTCCCAAAACAACACCAACTCATTGATTTTATTTTGGTTTTAGAATTTGAGGAACTTAAATGGCCCTCTTAAAAGTGCAGTAAAGTGCAAGGACACAGACTGTCTTTTTTTTCAGGACAGGCTCTAGAAGGGCTGCAATAAATTACAACTGGCATTTTACACTAAGAACAAATTAAATTGCTCTCATTGGCATCTTTTAGTTGGGGGGTCTACTTGAGGAAAAAAATCCAACCTGTAATTCATAATTCAGGTAATCAAAAATGTGTCATAGGACATACCAGAGAGAAAGAAGCAGTTAAGGTTTTGTGAGGCCATTTAGTTCTAACATAAATTCTCATTTTACAGTCATAATGTGTTGGGTTTTTATGGTGCTAGGACAATGTGGTACAACCCCAATTGTCTCTCTGCTCGCTTATTTTTCTCTGGAGTGTGGGTTAGGAGGTAGTTGAACTAGTTTCTCAGTGAAGTTGCAGATTCTTAGTGTGGTATACCTTTAGTATCGTTTTGAGAACAATTGCCCACCATTTCACAAATGAAGTTGTCAGTCATAAAAGCAATGAGAATGGTAATGCTGAATCTTTTACTGGTGGGAGCTTCCTCCTCCTGATGTTGTAGTGGATTACAGAAGGGCAGAGAATAGGTTTTAACTGTTGTCTCTAAAACAATACTGTGTGTGATCTGCTTTTGGCAACATTTACATTTAAAGGGCATTCAGCACTAGTTCAGTCACCAGTGAAGTTTAGTTTTGCTAAACAAAGCTTCTGCCTGAAATAGGCTGACTGCAGCAGTGCTATTTTAAGGCCTTACTGGTGTGAAATGTAAGGTCAGTGCTTATTTAATGATACTGAGCTAATGACTTCATAGTAGCAGTGTCCACGCTGACGTCATTCTTTGCTAGAAAATTGTTTCACGCTTCAGCCATTCAAAAAATCGTTTGATTTTGGTTTTTGCTAATGATTCATCTTGCAACTGAACAGAACCTAATTGCTTGTCTGAAAAAGATTTTTAAGAGTAAGTTTAAAGATTACAAAGGACAAGGTGTCCCTTCTAGGTGCCATTCTGTTTGAAGGCACAAAACGGTGTTAAGGAAAACTTTATTTTTTAGTGCTTCTTAAGATTTTCTTGCCCTATTTCTGATGCTGCCATTAAAACCAAATTTTTTGGGAGCATGTCAGTTTAGTTTTTAGGCTGTTGCATTTGGACAAATTCTGAATTAAACAGAATTCTTCTATTAGTGAAAGTAGGGGGGGAGAGGGGTCATGTTCAATGCATAATGGAATCAAATGTAGTCCAAGGATCTTTCATTCAACAGCAGGTAATAGTACACACAAGAGAGGCTTCAGACACACTCAGAGATAAGATTCTTTCTCTTACCTGCTAACAAAATAAGTCTTTGGTTCCCCGTATGTCCTATTTTGACATACTAGATGCACAGTGGAAGTTTTCTTAAATGCAGTGTTAGTATTACATTTTAACCGCTGGTTTTACCACCAGCAGTTCATGGAAGAGTCAGAGTATTTTTTTACTATCTAAACTGTATCTTCTATTTGAAGGAAACAATGAACCCATACCCTTTGTGTGGTTTTCTCTTTTCAATGGCATGTTTGTGTATGCTGTGTCCTGCTATTTTAAGAAGTTCACACTGATATATTTGAATTTTATTTTTTAAGTATCCTGCATTGTATTCTCAGCAAGGCAGCTCCATTATGAGGTCTGAGAAGGGGATTAGAAAATAGTGATGTTTAAAGCATACTGCAACCAAACCTATTCATTAAGAGACATAATGCCATGCTTACTGTGAAGAAACTCTGGATGTTAAAAATGCAAACCGTCGCCCATGCCTGCGTTTCTGCCATTTCTGCTCCCACAGATTCTGCATAAATGTTGGTGCAGGGATGAGAAATTTCTAGAGCAATACCAATATAAAAAGGAGGAACTGCAAAACTTTGAGTAAGCATTGTTTCAAGAAGGCCACATGTTCAGTAGGATTCTATGTGATGCCACTGTTAAATGTCATACTCACTGGATAGAAAAATAATTTTTTTTTTGTTCTGTTTTTTGGTTGCACTTCTTTGGAGCACATTTGAGCTGAAATCTTTCATTCCCAGGGCACTGTCTGTTCAAAGCTCTGTTCTTGGTTAGTTCTTAATCTGCAGACCTGGTCACCTCGTTGGAGTTGTTCCTACTTCATTTACCTCAGAACTTCATATGCCACAATGGAGGATATTAGAATAAAGTATTGCAAATATTGAATATGTTCTTCAGTTACAATCCATAATGCAACTCTAGCTCTCCTGTTTTCAAGCTCCAGCTTTAATTTGTAGTGAGAGCATGCCCTCAGTTACAACTAGACATCAAAAGCTTAGTTGTTTCTCTGTATCTGCTGTAAAGAGCCCAATCTGATCAATCCATGAGTCTTGCTGAGGCAGGCGGAGGGCAGGACTGACTCTGAAGTCAGCTGATTTTTTCAGGCTGAGTGTAGCTATTCACTAATAAGTGAATGTAAAAGTAAATACTGGGGAGCTTTTAAGGAGTGGTGTCTCTCCTTTTCAACAAAGCTCCATTTTCTTTTCTTCCTGTGATACACCATCTATGATATGTAGGATCCCAGTTTGCCGCTGCTCTAAAAAAGACCCTGCTGGGCAGAGAAGAATTTATTTTTTTTAATTAGGAGAAAAGTCTTAAGGGTTCTTCCCACTGACTTTCTAGAAGAAAGTGCTATGCTTTCATAGTGCACGGGATATTTTTCCTTAGCAAGTTTAGTGCATTTTTAATGCAGATAGTAACTCCTTTTCTTTATGAAAAATATTTAGCCTATGTAGTTTGCCACGTTGTTCTGAAGGAATCTGTTTTTAGGAAAGGTGGAATATTTAATAATCTTAGATCTGTATTGTACTTTGTGTGCAGTCCCTTATGTTAGAATGGTATTGTTTCTGATTCATTGCTAAGACAGATACCCCCAAAATATAGGCTTATATACAGAAAGAAAAACCAGACTTTGTATATAATGTTTATTAAAACTGCTAAATTTGAGATCTGCTGGAACATGGAATGAAAGAAGATTTCAAGAACTAGCAGAAGCCAACTGGTTTTCAAGATTCAGGTCTTGAGTTGGGTGTACTTGGCTGGTCCTGATTTTTCTGTGGCATTTTAACAGTGGTTTGAATTTCAGATGATATAGCCTGGAAGGAATAGAGCATCAGTTTGTGGCACTAATGACTCAGGTTATTGATAGGTATGTACTGTAGGAACTGAAAAGTGCTGGAGATGGGCTTGATGTCTGTGTGGAATAATTTGCACTTTCTATAGAGCGTAAGGTTAGTTCCCCTTCTTCAATTTGCAGTTGCTTATTCAGGTGTCCAGATGTTTTCACCCCAAGGCACAGGTTCGGTGCCTCTAAAAAACATCTAGAAATGAAGCACCTGGACAAATTCTCTCCCGTGTTACAGTACCTTGGCAGAGATGGATGGGAGGAGTCTGGTCACTAATTTTGAAACACTTTTCCATAGTTTTGCCATGAAAAGGAATTGTTAGACTGGCTGCAGAAACATCTGTGACACAAAGTGGTGATTGACGGGAAGGCGGATGTAGCAGCTAGTCTTGTAATGTGATGCTCTCATCTAAAATACTTGAGAGCCCTGACTTAATCACTAATACCTGTAATGATACTATGATATACTGTTGTTTTTATAGTTTTGTTGGAAGCTATTATGAAGAATGGAAGTACTGCTGGGGGAGGCGCTTACTGCCGAAAACCAGCCAGTAACAGTGATCAAAGTAAGCCAAATAGCACAAAGGAGAGCAATGCATCTGCTGCAGGTGAAAGTGGAAAAGGCTACAGCAAAGACCAAATGGAAGGAGTATTAAGGTATGGCTTAAATATGTCACTGCTTTTCATTCTGTGTATTATGTACTTACCCTTTCAACTCTGTCATCTAAAGGAGCCACAGGAAGTTTGAGGTTAGCTCAGAGGGGTTACTTGCACTGAACTTTGTCTGGAAGGAAGAGTTTTGCTGCTTTTAATCACCAAATGAGACGCTATCACTTTCTGCATGAAAGATGCTATTCCTTTCTTCTAACTATTAAGGCTACTTTATGGAAAAATAATATTCAAAATAGTTATTGAGTAGATCTCATGGTAAATGGGAAAAGCTATGAAAATTCTGTTGTGCAACTTGCAGGACAGTGTTTCTCTTCAGTATTTTTATACTAAAGATACATGCTCACTCCTAAAGTTTATTTTCAAGCTAATCTAATCAAGCTAATCTAAGACCAGACAGGCTGGTGTTAGACAAATGTTAAAATTATTTTAGTTTGGATGTAAAGGTGTCTGAGAAGCATTGGAACATACAGTCTGAGTTGTAGTATAAACTCTGCTTAGTGCAGCTTGATAGTATTAAGATAAGGTGACATCAGGAAAGGATGTATGAAAATAAACAAAGGTCAATAAAAATGCCCTTTTGAAGCAAGTAAGTCTTAAGTCATGTTATTACTGCACATTTGCTGGCTGTAGGAGCAAGAAAAATATTTTTTCGTATGTGCCCAGGTTTCTACTAAAGGAATATGGATATAGGAAGGAAATTGCACACCTCAAACCCCACTATTTTCAGATGAGCCTAGCCCAAATATTTTCAAGGGAGGTTGAAGGGAAATCAAGAGGTCCCTGTCTCCTAGTTTGTGTATGTTGGATGTTGTGCATAACAGAAATTTGGGGCGGGGAGAGGGGTTTCTGTGCATCTGTGAAATGTGTGTTGCTGCTGATACGATCTTGGGATCTTCCTGAATTTCAGTAATCTGTTCAGCTGTGCTAACAGTGAGGAAAGAAGTAGTTTTTTCTTTGTTGATACAGAAGCTCTGCATTCAGGCAGGTAGACAGCATCAGCTCTCACATGGCACATGGTTATCCTCTTGGTGTTATTTACTAGAGCTTTTCATGTACCATCATCTCCACTTAATTAATGTTATTGCCCTTTGTGATACATCTAAAGTAAAACCCGGATAAGCCTGTATGTTTTTGGCTACTTCATAGCAATTGTTAAAATGAATGTAGAATGTGTGTGTACGACAAAATATCCAGAAAGAAGTCCTCTGTAAATGTGGCTTAGGTCAAAATAAGACATGTCGCACACTTCCAGAAAGCTGCTGCAAGGAAGGCTGTCTTGGTGCCAGTAGTCACTCACCTGTGACATGCCATTCTGAGCTGCAGTCTGCTTCGACATCAGGTTCCCTGCAAGATCAGTCTGTTTGTTTGTTTTAGCAGAAGGTATGTTACCTACTTTGTCTTGACTAAAGTGGTGCTGTAGAGCTAGCTTTTTTCTCTGGTAGGCTTTTGTGGTATTGGGTATTGCTTTATTGAAGGGATTTGTTAGATGCTATATAAACTTAATTCAGTTTGTTGGGATCAGGACCGGAGTTAGGGATATTCAAGAATTGCACATTGAGAATAATATCGATGCAACATTGCTTCAAGAATATTGAATGTTGAATATGGCGTTTTAAAAGTTACCAAGATCTTTGCAAAATAAGTGATCGCAATACTTTACAGAGCAACCCATGTTTGTTTGTTTAACATACCACTTAAAATCATGTGTTAAAACAATATCTTCACCTTTGGTTGGGGAATTCTGCCATCCTTTAATACAGCAGTTTGTGAACCTTTAGAGAGAGATGGAATTTTTGTTTAGATATGCAGTGATCAACAGAACAAGTTTTGAGTTCATGTTGGAAGTTTTGAAATTTTTGTCATGTTACTATTTAGTGACATAAACCATTTAAAAAATTTGTGGCTACAAATTAAAAAACATGCGTACCTTGCCAAGGAGAGTAGACTTAAATACAAACAATGGGCTAAAACTAAATGGAAAAATATAACACATTCCGTGATGATAACTGAGAGAAAGTTCATGTTTAAACCACAGTGAGAATGAGCTTTCTAGATGGAAACATCACAGACAGCATATGATATTGCTTCAGTCAGACCCCAGGTTTTTCCAATTAAATGAAACATGCCCCTTTGGGGAGGGTATTCTTTAGAAAATAGAGTTTGTCACCACCATATGCTTCTGCTGTACCGCAGTGGAATGGTTTCCAGATGTTTGAATTGGTTAAAGAAATAGTGTGTGAAAAGAGGTGGTTTTAAACAGTGTTTCATGCCCAGTTGTTGTCTTTTTTTTTCTGTAAGGAAAGAAGTTTATAGACAGCAAGGTCTAAGCAAAACCTTCAAACCTCAATAAATTCTGACACTCAGCATGAATTGGACATTGCACAAACAGAGTTGGTTTGCATGTGCGTGATTCGAAACGTCATTATCCTCAAATATTCTTCCCTTTAGGAGTTTTTGGTTCAGTAACTGAATGTGGACGTAAGTACAGTCTTCTGCTTTCAACTACACTTCCATACCATTTCCAATGCTTTTGTTATAAGCTTTAGTGAGCTGTCAGACAGGGCAACTGACTCTGAGCTCCCTGGCTTGGATCACTGATTAAAGTTCCTGGAATTGTACAGCTATCTTGAATTTGCTTGTGACAGCAGATTTAAGAAGCATAGTGAGGACATGCTTGGAGCAATGTAACTAATTTAGCTGCATTAATTTTCATCAAGGTTACTCTAGTAGCATGAGTAGCTATGAGTACAAACAAGCACCTCTGTGCTGCCTTTACTTTTTCCACATACACATGGGACACCAATCACTAGCAAGTTGCCATTACAGTTCTGTAGAGTATTACGTGAGCTTGCAAGCTGCTCAACAGGGAGAAGCATAAGATGTAACATATTTCCTTTGATTGCATAAGTGCTGGGTAATGCTGCTCTTTGTGGGAGCCACGCTCGCTATTTCAGTGTGACAGTTTGAAGTTTGAGAGATACCACAGCACTTTGTTGCTTTCAAGTGGAAATGCATCTGTAGTACGTGCATCTTTTTCTTAATGATTCTTGCCTTGTCACTGAAAACTGGATCAAGTTGCCTTAACACCCTCAGGTGACCTGCATGTGGGAGATATTGACAGGAGACAAGCACAAATATGCTAGGACCCACGGTAGACCTAATGTCTTTTTAGAGCAAGTGCCCTAGAAATCTCTAGGCAGCTGAAAGCTACACAAGCAATGTCAGCTTAAGACAAATGTGTGAGAATCATGTGCATGACAAAAAATTAAGCATTTTCATGTTGTATGTTTTATACAGGCTCTCTTTAAATGATCTTAAAATGAACATGGTGTTTGACCTTTTTGGTCTCTTTTTTTTAGTCAATAAGCCATGGCATGTTGCCTTTTTGACATCTGAAAGAAAACTGCCATGATTAGTAGTATGCTGAATTTGCATTGTGGTCTTGTGGAATACTGCTTTTCCTGCCTTGCCAGTGCCTACTTCTTAGAAGAAAGCACAAGAATCAAATTTTGTATTTGGATCTTTGAGATAGAACTAAACCAAACAAATTAGAGGCATGAGTTCTGTAGAAACCTTGCAAGACAGTATTAAGTGTCATCAAGTAGTGGTCAGGAATAATCAGTAGACTTGATTTGAATCCATGTAGTGAACCAAAAAATTGCCTCTACACATTTCATGGATCAAAGTAGGAGTATAAGTTGTGTGACTGACTTTTCCCAGGCATTCTGCTGACACTTTCACAAATCCAAAAAAAGAGAGATATTGTTTTTTTTTCTAGCATAGAGTCAAGAAGATAATTAATTGCAAGTGGATTAATAAGAGCAATCTGTGTGTTAAAAAAAGCCAAACCACCAAAGCAAAGAAATCAGGGCATGCCTTTAATTAGGCTGTAGAGTTACCATGAATTGTTGAAATATCCAATTGAATGGTTGAGAAATTAAGGTGGAAATCATAGTCATAGAGCCTGTCACAGAAAAGTGGCAGAGAAGACGTGATGGACTTTGTCAGAAAGCTTGTAACTAAAATAAAAGCTTAAATAAAATCTGGAGAAAAGTATGCTGATGTAAACACAGCCTTTAATATTTCATGTCATACACACAGTAGAAACAAACTGATCAGCTACATCCAAGAGCAAGGTAGTAAGACAAGCACCCTAATGTGTTGTTGAATTTATCAGTGCAACAGAGATCTAAGACTTCTGCTGCATTTGTTTCAGAAACTAGGGATATGCTGGTACCAGCGTGAGTTCCTTGACAATGCTGTGACCTTCTCTTCCAGAGCACTTCTTTCAAGCCATGTTTGTCACCCAAACTGTGACTGGCACATTCCCAATTCAGCCATGAGATACCATTTGCATCAGGCTCTCTGGCATAATTGGAAATTTGACCTGTATAGATTTTGGTCTGCATGTTACTGTGTTTTTCTGCTCAACTCTAGGATCAGAAGTCAGTATAGCTTCCTCTTGCTGTATTCTTTGTCACTAACTTTGTCACATTGCTACTCACTGTGCTGCTCAGCTCAGATACCTTTGGGACGAATAATTGTGGCTCCTTGGACATGCTTCTGGTTGAAGTATTTGTCTTTTGGGCTGTTCCTGTGAGGTTTTGGAAGACACTTTGAAATACTTCATCATACTCCAAATTTCATGATTGTGCATTGCTGCAGGTATTTGATACAGTAAGGCAAGTATCTCTGATAAATTTTGTTAATCCGATAAAAGCTGGCAGTACTGACCTAATCTGAATTGCAGATTTGAAAAGTGATCTGACAAGCACAGCATTAAGATCACATCATTTTGTAGTCACAGAAGAACCAGTGGTGGTAGCCCTAGGGTTTCTGGAGGTGAGAAGAGCTGTTTCAGGACCTGAAGGGCTTCCTCTGCTGTCGGAGCATGGAGAGAAGCCCAGCATCCAGCAGAGTTGTTGGTGCTGCAGTTTGAAGCTGGCTGACCAGTTCTACTGCAGGTGCCTTGTCAGCTGCAAGCTGGGGTAGTGGAGTTTTGCAAGTCGTGATGAGATACCTCTGTCAACAGGCTGGAGACAAATGTAGGCCATCACTTGCTCTCCTGCAGTTTTGAGAAGTCTATTCTGTAAAAGTCAGGTGTTATTTCAGGAACAGCCAGAAAATCTATTAATCAGAAGGACAGTGCCAAGGTGTTGGCAGGGAACTAACAATGCAACAAGGAGAGAAATAATAGAAATAATTTTCTAGTAATTCAGATACAGAAATGATCCAACTAGAAATGAAAAGTACAAGAAAAGCAATTCACAAAAGAAAACAAAACCCCAAGCAAAGTATCAGTTAAAACATCAAACTTCAAATAAGCCAGAAATAAAGAGCAACAAAAATAACTCATTCAATACAGAATGGGCAGTTAGTAAGCAAGTGATGTGTACATTAGAATTTTAAAAAGAAATGTCTGTGTGGAGTTTATGTGTGCAAGAAAACTAGCAGTAGGAACTGCAGTGCCTTAAGGGCAGCAAGACCAAACAAACAACAATTTGAAATGCAGCATTCAGAAAGTTGTTCATGCTGAAAGTGTTGCAGGGGTTTCAGGTGCAGTTAAAAAGCCAACAGTAACATCAGTGATGGGGCTTTTCCAGAATCTCCACTGGTTTTACCCTTAATTTTTCCCTGCCTTTACTGGCTGATTTTTGTGCCCTGTAGTCAGAGAAAAGTGAGAAAGGAGTGGATCTTTCCATCCACCTGCCTTCCCGTGACAGATATCCACAGGATAATTCAGTGGTGCAGGTGAGGGATTCTGGCTGAGTGAGGATTGTCAGAGGTCAGTCTACTAGAGTAAAGAGGTGAGGAATATGTCCAAAAACATCTGCATCTTCTGAGGGACAAGGATCAAGTTGACCATGGCTTCCAACAGCTTCCAGCAGCTGGAGAGAAATTTCTCATCAGGAGAGTGGAGTTTTGGGAGAAGAAGACTTGGAGCATCTTTTAAAGGATGAGGAGGGATGGGGCATCTGAGGCTGTGTGCTCCAGCAGTGTTAGAGAAGCCTTGTGGCTGAACAGCCATGTATGACCTGAGTCCTGGTGGCCCCACGGTTTGTCCTGTGATAAACTGACTTACCAGGCTCCGTTTGTGATGCATTAAAGTTTTGCTTCTCAGGAGTACATCACAAACACTGATAATTTTGTTTAATTGGAAATCACCTTCTAATCATCTTTGCTTGTCCCATCATCCCCAGAGCAAATTTTGGTGCAGAACTCAAATGAACTAATCTGAGGGGGGGAACTGAGGTGTTACCCTGTTACGATTACCCTGAATTTTGCTCTGTCAGGAACCTCCTGGCAAAAGTCACTGACTCCCTCCCAGGAGGAAACTGCATTAACCACATGCTGGCAACTTACAGTCCAGGTGGTTTTTGCCTTGAAGTGGCCAAGCAATGGTGTAAAACTGTTGGCTAATAGCAGAGTGTGGCAAGGGCTTTATAGCACAACGTCACTGCTGAAAATTCCAGGCTTAGGTATGGTTTTTGGCCCCTGTGCATTTGTAAGATCATTTAATGTTTTTTTAGCTTTAAAGCTTGATTTGCCTAATCCAAAGTCCTGCTAAACTGCAAAATTTCCATATGCATATGCATGCTCCACATTTGTGTTTGTAGAATTTTTTATTTACGACTGGGAAAGACTTGCAAAGAAAAAACAGAAACATGTTATACCTTGGCTGAACATGTCCCTCAGTAATAAAAATTACTCATTTGTGGGCCAGGTTCGGGATAGCTGTTGCATGGAGGTGATTGCATTAATCCTTTAGATCTTTTAGTATATACCCACCATTGCTGCTTCTCCTTTGAGGGTCGTCCACTGTGGAACATCCACTGGTTGTGAACAGGAGGGAACTCTCAAATGGTTTTGGGGAGTTAGAAGTACAGGTTGGCATCTTTGCATTTTTTTTCCCCCATATTTCTCCTTTTGGCATCCTAGAGTTGTGAAATGAATATATATTGCAAATAAATAAACTTTCATGTTAGGTTTTTTTTTCATGAAAAATGACAATATGCTGTTGATGGAGAGAGTTGTTGAGAATGCACAGTGCTTAAAAACATTTAAATTAATTTTTAACACCAGAGTTTTAATGCTAAAACAATAACAGCTTTGCTAAACATGGACAGCTCACTGTAATTTTATGTCAACCAAAGTTCTGAAGAGTCTGGCCCACAAACAGCTTAGAAACAATTGTTGAAGAGAACGTAGATTGAATGCTGAGGAAGCAATTTCATTAAATAAAAGCTTAATTTGATACTGTTACATATTTAAATAAAGCTACCTGTTCTTGGTAACAGTTCATGAGTCATCCTGGCATTGAGGCTATGGATTAAGGGATCTGTACACTGCCACACTTCTTTCTGCTTGTATAGATTACCAAAAAAGAGTTTGCAGTACTCAAGAGTATATTTTAATGTATTTTCTTTCCAGCCTTTCTTGATGGATTCACTATGTTCTTTTTAGTTAGCTCTATCACCTTCCTAATTGGAGCTTATTAAATGTTACTTCAATATAATGAGCTATATTTATTTTACAGGATGTTTGTGTTGGCAGCTGCCTGCATACATTTAATTCAGTGCTCTTGTGAGCATTTCACCGAGGCTTCCACAAAAGCTCCTGTATTTGAGCACAGGAAGCAGGATCCCTCAAATGAAACTTGATTTGATCAATTTGTGAAGTAGGACGGACCACACATGATGGTGTGGTCGTACTTGTGATGCTCACATTCCCTTAATTACAGGATTCTCATTCCATGAGAATGCCAAAGGCTTGCTTGCTCCCTTGTTTTCCACATGGCTGCCCTGTGTATAGTCTTGGAAACATTAAACCCAAATTTACATAGACATTTGTGTATGTAAGAGAATGCAGATACAATTACATCCACGTGAAGAGACTCACATGAAGCTTTTAAAGTATTTATGGGTGTAATTTCTATTTCTTGCTCAGACCAGCCCATTTCTTTTGGCATGCACCCCGTGTCAGTGTGCCTCATTTCTGCAGTGCAAGTTTGGGATTCAGCCTTTTCTTTCTGAATTCTTACCCAAGTAACTTGGTTTGATTGTTAAGCTGTATTTACTGGTTTGATCAGTTCTTCCTGCCCCCATAGAATTAATGTTCTCTCTTTTCCTCTAAGTGCTCTTTCTTCTGGGGTATTGTGAAGTATGCTAAATCATTGCATCATTTCCACATTTTGCTTTTCGTGTCTGGGTTAGGCAGCCTACAAAAAGAATATTTCTGAGGTTTGAGTTTTAAAAAATGCTACACTACATTATATGAGATGAGCTAAATATGTAATTGCTGGAGCTAAAGGTGTGCCTTTGAATCTACCTAAACACATAGAGAAAGATTAAGTTCCAGGTGCATTCCCAGCAGCAGAAGTATTCTCACATGTTTTATTCTCTGAAAAGTGAATGCTTGAGTGATGGTATGATTTGACTTTTGTTTGGAGAAAGGGAGGTATTGTTTGCTTTATTTTATATCCTTCATACCAAAGTGCATTTGCTGTTTACAGTCAAAACATATTTTCCTGCCTGCTAGTTGTGCAAAGTAAATTTTGAACCTTCTTTTATGCATTATTAACAGCAATATTAATGTAATTGTGGATGGGGAAATGCTACAGTAGTTGCTAACTGAAACCCTCTCTTACAACTGTGGTAGTTCTACAGTAGAAGTAAAAGAAACATACATAATAAGCTCAATAGTGAGTTTATTATGAAAAAAATGACATTCTTTGTTTCTAGAGTTGATATTTAAAAAATAATTTATATTGAAAGCAAAAGATGTTGTATAATGCACCACTGTAATGTATGACCTCATTTGCAGCTGTGTGTTAAACCATTACTTTTACATCTTTTTGCTTGCAACATTTTATGTCATTTTCTTTTGCAGTATAAAGAAATGTAAAAATTATTACGAAGTCCTTGGAGTGTCAAAGGATGCAGGGGAAGAAGACTTAAAGAAGGCTTATAGAAAACTTGCTTTGAAATTCCACCCAGACAAAAACCATGCACCAGGAGCAACAGAGGCTTTTAAAAGTAAAACATCATTTTTACTTGAAATTTCTTTTATGATTGATCCAAATAAAACATATTTATTTGCATTGATCACTTGTATTTTTACAAATGCAAATGTGTTTTTTAGCTGTTGTTAAGCTGACATTTTTATTCAAGAAAATATTTGACCTTTGTTGTATTAGAAGTATAGATAAATAACATGGATTTTGGCAGTAGAGCTTGGTTTCAGAAAATTGACTGTGATGTTCAGTACAGGGAACAAATACTTGATCTGTGAAACCCAATTGCACTTTTTTACTGTTGTTGACTTAATGTAGTAATGGAATTATATTGCCTTGGATCTTTACTGTACTTGAGCTAGAAAAAAAGAAAGCAATCCTTGATAGCAAAATGCACTTTTAATGAATCATGTGCCACGCTAAGTTGCCTCTTCCATAGAATTTCTTGTATGTGTGTAGTTTTACTACTTTTTCTGCATAAAAACACCTGAGTTCAATCATGGCCTTACTAGTAGTTGCCTTTGACCATTTTTTAGGTAAAATATACAGTCTGACTTGACCTTATTTAATGCTGCCCAGCTTAGCCCTACACAAGGGAAGTTATTGAAGAAAAGCTTTTTGAAGGAAACTACAGCTTCATCTAAGATGAAGAAGAATGTGAATCTGTAAGAAATGATAATGCATAAACAATCTGATCGTGGTGCATCTTTTTATTTTTTTCTTGTGTGAGGTTTACATGCAGACATTTGAAAAAATCATTCGGATAAAACACTTAAATTGGGGAGGGAAAAAAAGAAAAAAAAAAGTCCTGAGCAAGACTTCTGGTACAGACTTTAAGAGGTAATTATAATAATATATTAACAATTCCAGGTGAAAAGTAGATACAGCAGAACAGGAAAGTTGATTGCTATTGATTCATTTAATACAGCTATGTGATTTTTAACATTTTAAAGATGATTTGAAATGCTAAAAGATAGCAATCATTTGCGTCATCTAGAAGATAGCTCTAAAAGATACTATTCCTATAAAATTGTCTCAGGCCCTGGGAATAAAATAGTTGTTCCTTGTTAATAGCATTTCAAATCATCTTTAAAATGTTAAAAATCTGCTTCTTAATATTTTATTTAACATGAGCACTTTTTACAAGTCTAATTTCTTCATCTGAATTTCACTTTCTGGTTTTTAACTAGATGAGTAAATGAACAGAAAATTTTGTAGGGGAATCTCATTGACCAAAAATTATTTAATGACAACTAGCATTTTCTTGCATTGAAATTGTCATAATCCTTTTCTATGGCTGAGTAAATTTATGGTTTAGTTTTCTTTTAAAGGTATCTGATCAGTTTATGATATCCATCTGAGGAAAGAAGTTCATAATAATAGTTTTTATTTCATAATAATGGTTTATTTTAAGGAAAGGTCACATTATAAAACAGAATTGCATTTTATGATAGGTAAGATACTTACTTAGATCTTGACCTACCTAGTACTACTCTTTTATTGTACTGAGCAGTCTCACTGAAGTGAATTTTAAATCAAAGTTTGTGCAAATATAATAACTTCTGCCATCTTTTATCAATTTAATCAAAAGTCTTGCCTTTGAAACTTTTGAGTAGTGACTTTTTTCATTTTTATGTCGTTTTTGAAAAGAAAATTATATTGGAATCAAATCTGTTGTGAATTAGCACCAGATAATCAAGAGGAAGTAACAAACAGGCACACTGTGACAGTGTGGTAACTTCACTTTATTTGCAGTGACCCGATTTATCTCTCTAAGTTTTTAATTCTTGGGAACCTCTAAATTTTTACGACCAATTTTATCCTTGTACTGAGCAACAGAGCAATATCTGATGTCAGTTTATATCATGCTTCAGTGCAAAATACCAGGCTTCATTTCTTTGGGTTTTCTCCTCTACTTAAAGGAATTGCTTAGGTTTTTTCCTAAGGGCATCTTAAAAGACACATAGGTAAAACTCATTAACTTTTGCTTAGACTGGATAATGTTTAAAATATTAATTATAAAGCCACAGACTTATTTACCTGTGTTGAAGTTATAGTGTTGCACCTCTGACGAATTTTTGACGACTGATGGCTTTTCAACACTGAAAATCATAATCCCTGTGCCTTGGATTGGTTGGCTGCAAAAGGACTCTTTTGTTAGAGAGGTCTGGAGGAGAGAGTAGAGAGGAAGGCAGAAAGGACTTAATGAAGATATGAGTGAAGATTGTTCATCAAGTGGCAACACAAACTTTCCATTAATCTGCAAGATCATTATGTCTGTGCACAGCAAGAAAAAAGCTTCTAAAGTCAGCAATATATGTGGGTTTTCTTGCTGATTTTTCCATGCTTACCTAAGTGAGGGTTTTTCCCTTTCTACTGCCAAAATGGAAGCTGTTCATTTGTGATACCATAACATAAACAGGGAGAAGCATCCAGATCAGGACCCCCAAACACTGAGGTCATACTGACTGCCCGAGGAACACACACATTCCTGTCACACGTGCCTGTTCTACTCCTCAGGTTAGATCATGCAAAGCTTTGTGTTATTAATGCAATCCATAAATACCTTCAAAAGCATGAAGAAAAATACATTCACACTCCTATATACAATGAAGTTGATGCATTCCAAGAAATGACCACTTATCAAATAAAACCAAAGAAAACCTGCTGAGTCCATGATGTTTTTTTAAGCTAGCTGCTAGAGCAAACTCCAATTACCCAGCTTCAGAGTCTCCTTGGAATGCTTGATGCTTTTTTTGTAACTGCAGTGAGAGAACATTTCCACAAGGGTAGGTAGGTGTTCCCCTAGAAAAGGAAACAAAGCTCTCCTGCCTTCTGCCTTTTTTAACAGGATAAAAGGCCTTTGAATAGCATTGGTGGGAAACTTTGTGGAATCTATTCCAAGAAAAGTGGAGATGTTTCTGGACCTTGTTCTACTGTAGTTGTTTTGTAATGTACAGTAAATTACATCAATTGCTGCCTATTTTTGACTTTGAAATTGCAATTTTCATGCTGGAATAGCTTTTATCATGCATTTATGGGAGTTGTGTTTTATTCCTTGCTTCAGAAATTGGAAATGCGTATGCTGTGCTGAGTAATCCAGAAAAGCGAAAGCAGTATGACCTTACAGGCAGTGAAGAGCAAACTTGTAATCACCCTAGCAATGGCAGATTTAACTTCCATAGAGGTTGTGAAGCAGATATTACTCCAGAGGATCTGTTCAACATGTTTTTTGGAGGGGCCTTTCCAACAGGTATTTGTATACATCAGCTTAATTGTCGATATGTACTGCCCAGAGTGGCATTAGAGTTTATGACATTATAAAATAGTAGAATTATTTCAGCCAGCCTTGAACCCCAGCTCTACAATCTGCATAAGTTTATTTTTCCCTCAAGTGTTGCTAAATCCTAAAAATGTCAGTTCTTACTATCATACAGCTTAAAATACTTACTTTAAGCAACTTTGTAATTTCAAGATACCTTAATGTCATTTTATGTGCTGTTGTGCAGTAATGTAAAGTGCTTTATGTTGCTTCTGTACTGACCTCTAAATAGTATTTTTGTACATGATTTAAATGTGGGTGTTCCTTCCTCAGGTAATGTACACTCATTTTCTAATGGTCGTGCTGGCTACAGCCATCCCAACCAGCACCGTCAGAGCGGGCACGAGAGGGAGGAAGAGAGGGGTGATGTAAGTTTAAGCACCATTGGCTTTAAACTACAAAATTTGCTTTCAGTATTGTGATTGTACAGGAGCTTTGTACTGTAGAGGAAGATTTGTACCTGCCAGCTGGGTATTTTAAACTTCAGTGGGTGGTTCGCTTACTGACTGGTAAATAGGCATGCAAATTTGAGAAGGTAATAGCCTGATTTTGTAAACCTGTTGTTGTATGTCACTCTCTTACTAGTGACTGGTATTATTAACCTATATATGCCACTAATTGTGGCCACTAGTCCTTATGTGCATTGATAAATTTATTTGGGCTGAGGTAAGAATTGAACATGTGGCTCGGTATTCACCTACATGAATTATCTCTAATCCTGTATAATCACATATCACTGTACAGATGAGACCAAATCATGGCATACAACATAGCTGAATCCAGCTTTTATTTGGTAGTTGCTTGTGTGTATGTGCTAACCCATGAACTCCTGCAGCTTGAGCACTGTGTGAATATTGTATATGCAATTGAAAGTTTAGATAATACCACAGTGTTTGCAGTTACTGTTTTCCTAGTAGCTTTTGCGGCTTAAAGCAAAAAGTCACACTTAGCATTAAGTATTGTCAGATTTACCTGTTTGCTTGATGATTTATGAAATACCTGAATCTGTTTTGTTCCTTAGGGAGGTTTCTCTATGGTCATTCAGCTGATGCCTATTATTGTGTTGATCTTTGTCTCCTTGTTGAGCCAGTTGATGGTATCTAACCCTCCTTACGCCTTATACCCAAGATCGTAAGTAATGCTTCATAACATCACCTTAAAGCAGAGGCGAATGTATTGCAATCACCCTCTCCCACACAGAAGCATTGTGGAGAGTCTTCCATTAGTTGATCTTTGATTTCCCACAGTGGAGAAAGGGAGGGAAGGTATAGATGAAGAAGAACAAAAAAATGTAGGTGTGAAGAGCATGCTGTGAGAATGTTACGGAGAAAAGAGGTCAGCAGTACCTGGAGTTTAGGAGATCTAGTACAAGGCAGTGGGTCCATGCAACATGGCACGTTGCAAAGGTGTTTACATCGCCAACATAGTTAATCAAAACCTGAAATCTGCTAAGGCTCGTTACTCTTTTGGGGGTAATCCGTGTTTGTAGAAGGTGAAGAACTTGAAAGCAACTTTCTTATCCTTATTTAAGTGTTAAACATGATGACGTCTGGGAAGATTGTCTGTTCTTTGCTTCATTCTAGGTGATGGCAAAATTTTCATTTTGTTGTGAAGAATTCTACTTGTGAAACTTACCTGGATATTTAAACCTTCTTTTCTTATGAGAAATAAGTAACTTGAATCAAGTGTGCAGCTAACTGGTAGACATAGCCCACTCACCACACTGGTTTTGAAGGTCCTTAGTTCCTTGCAGAGCCCCATAACAGAAAGGTTTCTTTTCTCCTGTTTTTCAAAGTTCTCTATTTCTGGAGTAGGTTGTTTTTCCCTTCTGCAATTAAGCTGTTGTAATGCTTAGAAAAGCTTTTCTGCCAAAATGTTTGCATCTGATCTTTGATTTTGAATCTACAGAATGCCATCAGGAAAATTAATTTATCAAGGCTGGCAGCAAACACTTCAGAATGGAGATGCTATACTGGCTTGCTGCAGAATAGTGACCTGTTTCTGTTGAGTTTGAATGTATTTTTCTATTATTAAAACTTATATTTGGCCAAAGAGGTATGAAATAAGTGTCTTAGTAAAGTGGAATTTTGTTTTTTGAGATCAAGTGTTTAAGCAGCAGAAGTTTAGTGTTTAGGTAAAAGCAATTATTTTATTCTCAAGAAGATTATAGAGGCATTCTTTTCATTTTTTATCTTGAAATGGCAAATTTAGGAGTGTGCTGGTATTATTTAGTAATGGCAATATGTTTTTTAAGTCTACTTGTGATGTAAAAACAATAATCAAATTAATATTTAGTCTTTCTCTCCCCCCTGCCTCCTTTTTTGCAGAAGTACAGGGCAGACCATAAAAATGCAGACAGAAAATTTGGGTGTCATTTATTATGTCAATAAGGACTTTAGAAATGAATACAAAGGAGTGTCATTACAGAAAGTGGAAAAGAGTGTGGAAGAAGATTATGTATCTAACGTTCGTAATAACTGTTGGAAGGAGAGGCAACAAAGTAAGTGTGCTAATATGTGTAATTTAATGAAATCATGCATTACTATAAAAATAAATTGCCTGAGGCAAGAAAGAATTGCTTGTATTATTACAATATCTCAATGCAATAGTAAGTGTAAGGTCCCGTGCTGTTTCTCACTTTAAAACTGTCCCCAGTGTCACTTAGTTTTTGGATTTTACTCAGTGATCTAACAACCATTTGCAAATTATCAGCAATTTTAACCTGCTGCTTTATTATCTGTGACCATTTCTCAGAAAATTAAAGACTACACTAAATTGATAATGATAAAGCTTTTCTCCTTAACTCACTGTGATTTGTAAGATTTCTCATGTCTTCCACATTACTTTTTCATGGCAATAGCTCATTTGCCTAGGTGCTTCTATATAAGTAAATAAATAAACCAGAAACTTACATAGGTGTTTTCAGAGAGATGAAAAAATAATCTGCCTTGGACCACAGTACATACACTGTTTTTCCAGGCAACCAAGGACAGGCAGCACATCCTGTCAAACAAGGGGGTTTAGTGTGCCATCTGTTTCTCCAGTCTAGTATTATACAACGAGTTACTTCTTTTCAGAAACCTAGAATTCAGTGTTACAGCATAAGAATACTGAAGAGCACCACCAGCCTTTTCTAAATCAGCATCAATTTTAATGTGCTGTTACAATTTTATTGTTATCTGTGACTATTTCGTGAGCTCTGTGGGAACAGCACTGCTAAAATTACATCAGTGTGGAATTTATCAGGTTGTGAAAACTACCCAAACTGATTTTGAGTAAGAGTCTCCTAATGTTTTGGTTTTGTTTGTTTGTTGGGGGTTTTTTTCTGATTGTAGAAACAGCTGATTTTGTGGTTTTATGGATTTAAAATACCTGTTGTGTGTTAAATCTCTTTGACATTTAAAATCTATCTGGGGTTAACTGACATTTAAGAATGTCTTGTATTTTGAGTTGAAGTGACAAAAAAGATTTTACAGAATTACAATGTTCAGCAACGTCAAGCTGTTGAGCACCAGTATAATACAGAGAGCTCTTAATTATTAATAGCTCGGAACACTGACAGTCTGAATCAGCATCAGTTGAAGTAAAGGGCTTAACATTAAGGTTGGATTTTTTGGGGCACAGACAGGATGCTAGAGGTATCAATAACAATGCAGGATCACTGAGAGTAGCCTGTATTTGTAATGTCTAGTGAGGTCTGATAGAAGTCACAGGGTTTTTTTTTGTTATTTTGTTGTTGGGGATTTTTGTAGGGTGTGTTTTTTTTCTTTTTATCAGGTACTGCTGTATGAAGTCTGAGGAAGCTGGAAGGCTGATACAGCTTTACCTGCTCAAAAGGATAGACTTGTTACAAAGATCTAGCAAAGGAGAACTGTAGCAGTGCTGTTGTGGTTGTGTGTGAGGGAAGTTAGAACAGAGAGAAGGAAAAGAGGGCAAGGGTTAAAACCTGGCATGTTTTGTACAGCTGTCATGTGCCAAGTATTCAGTTTGTAACCTAAAAAATCTTTTCTCCTTTCTCCTTAAAGAAACAGACTTACTTTATGCAGCAAAAGTATATCGAGACGACCGCCTCCGAAAGAAAGCAGAATCCATGTCCATGGAGAACTGCAAAGAACTAGAACGGCTGACCAGCCTCTACCGAGGAGGATGAGCTACAGTTACACACACATCTTACCTATGCTGTTATCTCTCCTGAAACTGAGAAGAGATTTAGTTTCACCATGGATGCTGGAAAAGAGGGTGGATGTAAAACTCTACTGTGTAGCTGTTTCCAGAAACCTTATGCTGAAATATCATTTAACGGCTTCTTTACCTACTGTGAAATATAGGTAACTTTAATTGTTTAGATTTTACTTCAAAGCTTCTGTGAATTCTTTCAGCAGAGAGAATAGCTCAGAAAGGATGCTATACTTGTAGAGACTTAGTCATAGTGGTTCTCCTCTAACATATTTGCCATGTAAATATCTGTGGAAAGAACACTTTGTGTATATATGAGTTAAATGACTTTCTATTTAAAAATCTCAGAAATTTAGTTCCATACTACATTTTGTCTCACTGATGGAATAAATAGTATGATTACATCACTCCTATTCAGATGTCAAGTGTGTGGAGTTAAAACAATAATTTTTAATATTTTATCTCTAACTCTATGTAAAATCTTCTAGGTTTACCACTTAGAGGAACTTGGTATTTTTAAATATAATGGCATATATTCCTAAATATCTGTTGGGGTAAATTGATCTGGTGTAGAGTAGCAGTTTAGCTGTTGTAGTTTTTTAGCATTTCTAAGCAATGCTGAGAAAAATAAGAACTATACTAGTCTCTTTTCAAAGTAAATTTGCAAATGCTGTACAGACCATTATAAACATTGCTTTTAGTACTTGCAACAGTTTACAGCAGCTCTACCATTTGGTATTCCAGTAGTAGTAATTCCATATGTATGGTTAACATGCATCCATAGCTTCCTTAATTTTCACCAGAAAGGTAGAGGAAAACATGCAACACTAAAATATTAACACTAAAAAAAAAAGGCAACCTAATTTTTTTTTTCCTGGCAGGCTTCCATTTTCTTACAACTTTTTTATTTCAAGCTAGGTCCCAATACTGATTCCTCAATGGGCACCGCAAGTGGAACAGGGAAATTTTCCTAAGGACAAGCTATGTGCCTTTCAACCCTTTTGCCAACTATTTAAATGCTTTGCTGCTTTGCAGTGTGCTCCTATGGTCAGAGCCGTATCACTTGTCAAAAGAGGTAGGGTATGTGTTTTTTGGGACCAGAATGTAGCTGGACTGACTTGGTAGAAATGAGCAAGCCTACTGTTTGGCTCCTCCATAGAAGATCATGTAACTCAGTGGCCTGGAAATGGAAACTATATGTAGCCACACCTGCTGATGCAAAGAGGTGTTCTGAAGCAGCTAAGTACAATGTACTTAAGGTTTATCAAAGTATGTTGAAAATGTTTTTAGGTTCAGTAGCTGATGTTTTTTACATTTTAACAGTGTTATACAGGGGAATGTTTCTTGTATTTGAGAATGCCAGATAGCTTGTATTACAGGCAATATATTTTGTTTGAGAAAACTGCTATCTTTGGACAATGCTATCAGTTCATGTGGAGCCAAATATTTCTCCTAAACTGAAAATTTGAATACTTTGTCTGACTTCATTGCAATTCCTTCTGATCTACAGCAGGATATGACTTTACAAATACACTAAATGCTACTACTCTAAGTGACCCAGAAAACATTTTGCATATCCCTTTTCCAAATTGTCCCAGTGGAAATGTCTTCTCTTGAATTGGTGTAACATGAGACTGGCTGCAGGCTTTTAACTAAGCAGCTAAACCAGCATTCAAGGTGGACATAAAAGCCTGGGGCACAAAACAGAAAAAAAATTGCTGAAACAACAAAAAAAATGTGTTGCTGTACTGAATGCCCTTACTAAGGCTATAGTAAAAGGGTTCAGATGTAATGGAAAGGCATCCAGTTGTTTGAAATATGCAATCAAAATCTATGGAGAAAACGAGATTCCCCAGATTTTGTAACTGTCCAGAATGTATTGTAATTATATTAATGAAAACAAACTATCAAAATACATCCTGGTACTCCTGTGTCTTCTTAAAAGAAGAAAGTTGTTCCAAAGGCTTTAACAAGTACTTAGACCTTCCTGTTTACAAATGAGTCTGAGCTTGCAAGTGATCTTTTAGTTAACAGGAAAAAGGATATATAACACATTTATCAAATATTGGAACTGTAAAGTCAGAGTGAACAGATGGTCTTAGCAAAGCTGCCTGTAATAATCCTATGGGCTGTGTCTGTCCTGAAGCCACTTCTGGTGCAGGTGAGAAGTGGGGAAATGGATGGATGCTGAGCTGTGTCAGCTGGGTTCCATTCCTGTCAGTTCTTCTGCAAGCTGGAATGATGTGCTGGCTGTGCCCTATGGCAACACAGATATCCCGTAAGGTTAAAAGTGAGACCTAGACCGCAACATTTCATTTGACTACCTTGCAATTAGCACTTTCTGAAAAGGAAATAATATGTTTATACTGGTGGAAGTATGCTGCTTAGAATTTAACAGATTAAATACTTGCACACTTTGAAATATGTAGTAATGTGCAAAAGGATGCTGTGATGTCCTGTGGCATAAAGATTAAGCTGCTCTAAATATGGCCTGCAAACACTCTTATAATATTTCAAGTGGGTGTTTTTCTCTTCATGATTGTTGCTTTTTTCCTCAAGTCTGAAGGGTTGTTTTGGGTTTTTTTTCTTCAGAAATGTCAATATCTTCCCTGGATTTGTTGAGGGAATCTGCTGGAAAGTACAGAATTAATTTTCTCATGAGCAAAATGCAAATTGAAGAGGGTGGAGTACTTAAATCTTTTCAGATGACCTTTCTTCAGAAGGAAAAGTTCTCATTAAAATAAGATATTGGAAAGAAAAGAGAAAAACAACACTGTTTTTGAACAGCCTGACTAAAAATCCCTCAAGATTTTAGCTACATGCTCCTTACTGTTTTTATTTAGTGATTACCTTTCATTTAATCTAGAGTTAAAGATAGCACGAGCATGGGTTCTTGGTTTTATCCTTTAAAAGGGCACGCAGAAAAGCCTGGCAAAAAGAGAAAAATCTTGGCATGACTCTGACATAGCCTAATGAAAAAAGGAGGTGATTTGCATCTGCTGAAATATAACATCAATATGTGTTCTATTTATGGAGCATCCTGAGTCACAAGTGAGTTCAGTGTTCACATCTGATGAACATTTCCCTACAAGTTCTCTGTTTGGGTAAAACAAGTCTAAATTGGAATTTTTAACTGTTTTTTAAATGGTCATTTTTCTTTTAACAAGTTTCCAAGAAATGGGAGAACATTGCAGCACTAAATATGTAACAGATGAATTTAAATAGACGTTAGAGACAACTTTAAATAATAAATATTTTTAATATAATTTTGTAACAAATGCTGTGAAAGGATTAAAATGGGAGGGCAAGAATATTTTTTAAGGTTGTTTGTTCATAAATTTCATTCACCATTAAGCAGTTGTTATTCTGACTCCTTGTAGCTCTGTCAAATAGAAGGAAAGTGTAATAGTAAAAGCATTTTGATTTTAAAAAATACAGGTAATATTAAATAAATTCTTGAAGCTATAACTTACTTACACAAAATATAATGCAATAAATATAGGAAAGAAATAGGCCATTTGTTGTGGTTTGGGCGCAGCCATGGATAAGCACCGTGCAGCCAGCTGCTCTCACCCCCACAGCACGATGGGGAAAATTGTACTCAGGTAAAACCTGTGGGTTGAGATGACAGCAGTTTCATCATCGAAACAAAATCAGATACCAGTGATCAACAGCAATGAAAAGGGACACAAGGGAGAGAGGAAGTGATGCCCAGTGCAATTGCTCACCACACTCTGACCCATGCCCTGCCTGTCCCTGATGAGCAGTCAGCAGCTCCTGACCAACCTCCCCAGTTTATACACTGACTATGAGGGGCTCCATGGGATGGAATTGCCCTTTGGCACACCCAGGTTTGCTGTCCTGGCCGTGCTCCCTCCCAGCTTCTTGTGCACCTGCTCACTGCCAGAGCGTGGGAAACTGAAAAATCCTGGATTTAGGGTAAGCACTGCTCAGCAACAGCCAAAGTATCAGTGTGTTACCAACGTTATTCTCATACTGAATCCAAAGCACAGCACTGTACCAGCTGCTTGGAGGAAAAGTAACTCCTCTCTCCCCGCTGAAAGCAGGACACCATTATAAACTATACTTCCCATACTGCTCAGTCTGGCAGGAATTAGGTTTGAGTATTGGGCTTCTCCATGTTTTTAGAAATAATATTAAAATACACTGTTTAGTTAAAATGTTATCCTTCATGTAAGATACGCTTCTCCCTCCAGTACTGGTTTATTCCACATATAGAATGACTGTCATTGGGATGGGAGAATAAATTCCCATTAATAGCAATACAGGAGCCATCTCATAGATGCTTTTGCATAGCTTTTATTCAAAATGTGACAGGGAAATAAGTAAAATTGATCATTGAGCATCATGGCTGCAAATAATTTTTTAAAAGTTGCATTTTTAAACATATTTACTGCATAGTAGGGAATATTTTAATAAATGAGAAGACCAAGGTTGTCCCAGGTAGCATTTTCAAAATACTACCAGAAGCTCACATGATGATTTTATGGGATTCTCTTTTAAGTATCTCTATAATATGACCAAGTCCTTATCAAATTGCTGTGTGTGCATGGCTTGGATTAAGAAGGAGGTATGGATTCTCAGTATTCAAATAAATTTGTTCTTTTGAATGACCTTTTCCTCTTACTTGCAGAAAGTGGCTTATTTCTGTTTTGAGCTTTTTGGAAACGTCACTGGACCTATATGTGCAGAAACATTAGCAATTTCCAAGGTTTTTTTTTTTTTTTTTTTTAATTTACACTTTTTAAAAGTTTAATTTGATACTGGCATCTAAGCAAAATCTTCAGATATCAACAATGCTCTAGTCCCTGTTGGTGTCCCGTCGGCTCAGTATTGGGCCCAGTCCTGTTCAGTATCTTTAGTGATGATCTGGATAAGGAAATTGAGTCTACCCTCGGTAAATCCACAGTGACACCAAGTTGGGTGGCATTGTCGATCTGCTGGAGGGCAGGAAGTCTCTGCAGGGGATCTGGACTGGCTGGATCAATGGGCTGAGACCAACAGAATGAGGTTTAACAAGGCCAAGTGCTGAGTGCTGCCCTTGGGTCACAGCAACCCCAGGCAGTGCCACAAGCAGGGGACAGAGTGGCTGGGAAGGTGCCCAGTGGAAAAGGACCTGGGGGTTCTGGTGACAGCAGCAGAACATGAGCCACCTGTGCCCAGGGGGCCAAGAAGGCCAAGGGCATCCTGGTCTGTATCAGCAATGGTGTGGCCAGCAGGAGCAGTGACTGTCCCCCTGTACTTGGCACTGGTGAGGCCACAGGTCAAGAGCTGTGTCCAGTTCTGGGCCCCTCACTACAAAAAGGACATTGAGGGGCTGGAGCGTGTCCAGAGAAGGGCAACGGAGCTGGGGAAGGGTCTGGAGCACAAGTCCTGTGAGGAGCGGCTGAGGGAGCTGGGGGTGTTCAGCCTGGAGAAGAGGCAGCTCAGGGGGCACCTTACTGCTTACAGCCCCGAGAGGAGGGTGTAGCCAGGGGCATCAGCCTCTTCTAGCATGCAGCCAATGACAGGATGAGAGGAAATTATCTCAAGCTGTGCCAGGAGAGATTCAGGTTGGATGTTAGCAAGAAATTCCTCACAGAAAAGGTGACTAGTACTGAAATGGGCTGCCCAGTAAGGTGATGAAATCACTGCTGCTGGAGGTTTTAAAGACTGGACGTGGCACTCAGGGCCATGGTCTGGTTAACTTGGTGTAGTTTAGTCATAGTTTGGACTCGATGATCTGGGATATCTTTTCCAACCTAATTTATTCATTTATTCTGTGCTTGGCCTGTAACAGCTTTTTTTTTTTTTTTTTTTTTTTTTTTTTTTTTTTTTTTTCTTAAGAGAAAAAGCATTGTTACATGCTGAGCAGCTTGGGGCGTTTTTAGATCTACCATGAGGGTCCTGCATTCCGATAGAAGACTTTAAAAACAGATATGCAGTTACCATTGTTACATTGTAGGCATCTACTAAATTAATATATTTATTGCTTCGCATTAGCTGTTAAATTAGTCTGCAGGCTTATAGTTTGATGGACTTGATCCAAAAGTAAGGGAAATAGGCAACAGTGGAAGAGTGGCAGTAACTTCTCAGCAGGATAAGACGTTCGCTTTCTGTCGCTGATCTTCAAGCGAAATGCTACGGCTTGTTTTGGTTTTGGTTTGTTTTGCTGCCGGGGCGGAGCGGGCGGGGACGGCCGGGAAGCGGTTCCGGGGCCGGGAGGGCGGTGCCGTGGCTCATGTGACAGCGCTCCGAGGGAAGCGGCGGCGGAGCGGTGCGGGGCGCGCCGGGGGCGCGGACAGGTACGGCGGGGCGGCCGAGGGGCGCCGGGGGCGCGGACAGGTACGGCGGGGCGGCCGGGGGGCGTCCCCGCAGCCGCTCCCGCTGCGCGCTGGGCCCGGCCCCGCCGAGCGCCCTTCCCGGCGCGGCTGGGAGCGTCTCTGGGGCGGTGGCGGCCTGCCGGGCCTCGGGGACGGAGCGCGGCCTCCCTCCGGCCGCTCCCTACTCGCAGGCGGTGGCCGCCCGCGGTGACGGGGCCGCCTCTCGTCTTGTCTCGCAGGCCCCGGAGGCGGCGGCGGCAGCAGCGGGCGGGCCCCAGCCATGGCCGACGTGAGTGCGGCTCCGCGGGGCGGGCGCGCCGCGGGCGGGGGCTGCTGGCGGCGGCGGGGCCGGGGATGCCGAGGTCGGGCCGGGGCCGGGGCCGGGGCCGGCCGGGCGGTGCTTCGGGCGGGGAGGGAGCTCCGGAGGTGCCCGGCCGCTCGGAGCGGCCGTGAGTAACGCGCCGCCCGTCTCTGCCCGCAGGACCTGAAGCGGTTCCTGTACAAGAAGCTGCCGAGGTAAGGCGGGGCTGTGCGGGGCGGGCGGCCAGGGCCATCGGTGCCAGCCCTCTGCCATGGCAGGGACACTGCCCACGACACCAGCTTGCTCAGAGCCCCGTCCGGCCCGGCCATGAACACTTCCAGGGTGGGGTATCCGCAGCCTCCCTGGGCAGCCTGTTCCACTGTCTCACCGCCTTCATAGTAAAGAATTTCTTCCTAATAGCTAACCTGAATTTCCTGGTTTTCAATTTGTCCTGTCACTGCAGTTTCTGATGAAGAGTTCCTCTCCAGCTTCCCTGTAAACCCCCCTTTCAGAGACTGGAAGGTTGCTGTGAGGTCTCCACTCAACCTTCCCTTCTCCAGGCTGAACAGCCCCAACTTCCTCAGCCTGTCTTTGTAGGGGAAGTGCTCCAGCCCTTTTATCAACCTCATGACTTCCTCTGGACTTGTTCCAGCAGTTCCATGTCCTTCTTATTATTGGGGCCACCAGACCTGTACTAAACAGAACAAATACTAAATTAATGAAGGCATCAGTTTTTTCCAAAGTTCTCCCCTTCTTTGCACATTTGTTCATACAAAAAACCTTTTATACTAATTACTGTGGTTTTAAAATTATGCATCTTCTTCCTTTTTTTTTTTTTTCAGTGTTGAAGGTCTTCATGCTATTGTAGTCTCAGATAGAGATGGTGTGCCTGTTATCAAAGGTAACTTCAGCTTCTCACTGTGCTCTGCAGCTGAAATCCTGATTGAACAGCAGAGGGTGGAGAAGTACAGAGAAGTCCTCCTGGTTCTGCCAAATACCCGAATATCCCAAGTGGTAGAATTAAATTGGACTTTTACTAAGTAAAAGTTCACTAGTTGATTATGTACCTCTTTGAATATATCCCTTTGTTTGTGCCCTCAGTAACTGTAGTCCATGGAAGTTTTCCTGCATGACAGGGGTTGGAATGCTGTAAGGTCCCTTTAGTTTCAAGTCCCTCACAGGCTGATTGATACTAAGTAGTAGAGAGAGCTTGGCAGTATTTTGTTGGTTTCTTTGGTACTCTAGTTTTCATGTTCTGCAGTCCTTGTTTCAGATGGTTTTGGCTTGTGAGTATAATGGTTTAAGGATACAAAGGTTCAAGTATTGCAGGTTTATTTTGCTCAATGCTCCAAAGTATTCAAACACCCAGCAGAACTTTCACATCTTCACCTGTCTGCAGTCAAGTGTGTGCCAGTAGTCTGTTCAAAGGTTGGAATGGGTGCAGACAGTGTGGGACATGGAACCAAAGGGGCATCAGCACAGGCTGTGCATCCTAAAGGAAAAGACTCTTTTTCAGGTATGCAAGGAGGGATGCTGCTATAACAAGCTATGATCATACAGAGAGCATTAAATTATGTACAGCTCGTGAAAACTGTCTGGTGTTCCTGTGGGAGCACCTCAGGCATCTTGCATGTTTCTCTGGTTTTGGCAGAGCACTGAGCTGGATGAGAGTTTGAGATGCACTCAGAAACACCATGTAAAGATAAGGATTTTCTTGTTTTGTTCTAGTTGCCAATGATAATGCTCCAGAACATGCACTGCGACCTGGCTTTTTGTCCACCTTTGCCCTTGCCACAGATCAGGGCAGTAAGTTAGGACTCTCTAAAAACAAAAGTATCATCTGCTATTACAATACCTACCAGGTGAGTAACCTCAGTGTGCCCTGTCCTCAGCAACTTGAGCTGTTCCTGCATTACATTGAGCAAGAGAAAGAAGGTTGTTTAAGCTCTGGTAGATTTTCACTATGCTGCTATTGAAGTAATTTTGGTTTATTTCTTACACAGCTTAAATGGTTAAGCCAAAATTTCACAGTATTTTTAAAACTTCTGTTATATTTCTCAAAACTTGAGATTTACTTCTTGATAGTGGGAAAGTGTAGTGGTTTTGAATTTGCAGGAGGTGTTGCTTGTATGGTCTTCTGAATCTTTTATGAAGGGTTTATGTACTCTATTAGAAACAATGTTTATAATTAGTGACACCTAACATTAATTAAAGCACATGCAGCCTATTTCATAGCTAATCTTGCTGCCAGCATGGCTTTGAGGTAAGAATGGTTTGAAATACCACTCACATTTTTCAGAAATAAATTAATTCTTTGTGTCCAGAAGTTCATCATCGACTACATTTCTGCTCCTTCGTGAGTTTTGGTGGTCCTGAGAGCTTTTAATTATGACTGCAGTAAACTGACCAGCTGTTTAGCCTATAGTGTATCAAGCTTTGCGTGGAAATAAGTGGGTGAGCAAGATAGTTTGCCCACATCAGTACATTTCTTTGACTCTCTTGATGCTACTAGCTTACTGTTGTGCCCATGGTGCCATTTCCCTGTTTGGAAGAACAGATACTCCTGTACAGGGAACAGTATTTTAAAACAATAAACCTGTCTGCCCTCCTGTTTCCTGTGGAGGGTGTGTCTCCACAGTGTAATCTGCGGGGTCTGCAGCTAAAGGAGGGTTCTGGTGGACAGCACTCTGTAAAACATGGGGGCAGAGGGAATTGCCAGGTTTTCCATGTGGAGCTCCCTGTACTGTAGTGTAAGGTCTGTTTGTGTTTCTAACCATGAATCTTAAGAAACAGGTACACTAAAAAGTCACCTTTGTGGCTCTTGCTCCTGTTTGTCCTTTAAATTGAGGAGGCTGCTTGTTGAAGAAAGAATTTATGTGGAAAGAATTTATCAGAGCCCTGACATCCACGATATGTTAGCTGCTGGCTGAGCACATCTCTCTCCTTGCAGGTGGTGCAGTTCAATCGCTTACCTTTGGTAGTGAGTTTCATTGCAAGCAGCAATGCCAATACAGGTATGTCTACACATTTATTTTAAAGATTGCAGTAATTTAAGGCCCAAGTATTTTAATAATTGAAAATCCCTGAATTCACTTCAAGCTGTGTTTGCTTTGTTCCTGCTGTGAATTTTGTCAGCAAATTGTGAAAGATGAGAAGAAAAAGGTGTGAGTTAAAATGCACAGATTTAGGTGGCTTGCTGGAGTTGTTATTCTTCTAGAAGCTTATTTCTCCTGTGATTAACCTTGCCTTTGCTGCATGGGCAGGTACTGTGCTATACAAGCCAGCTGCTTGGTCTCTTTCTGTCAGTCAAAGTTAACATTCTGCAGGAGCATGTCAGATTTGTCTTCAGTTCTGTGGGGTGGGGAAGTCCTTCAGTCAGACCCTCGCCTTGGTCATGAGGATGCTGGCTAATGAATATGAGCAGAAGGGATTTAATTCTGGTACAGCTTCTTGGGCCGCAGCAGCTGCGGAAGTGGCAAGGCAGTAGTGGGGGAGAGTTGTGCTGCACTGGGTGCCTCTTCAGTACCAGGGATTGTAGACACCCTGGGGTGTCTGGGGATGCTGTCCCCTATTCACAGGAAAGTGAGTAGCTCACATGAAACATTTCAGGCTTTGAAAATCACTGTCTGTGACTTGGGAAGGGGAGGGAGCTGTGGGCTTTGGAGAGAGGCTTCTCAGTCATGTTGTTTAATGGAATATTATGTCTCTTGTCTCTTTCCAGGGCTGATTGTAAGTTTGGAAAAGGAGCTCACACCCCTGTTTGAAGAACTGAGGCAGGTTGTTGAAGTTTCTTAACCTGATGGTATAGCCAGAGTGCAGCATTCCTCTGCAGCCCAGTGGACAGAAAGATTCAATAATCATCAGTCAAATAACATGTCTCGGAAGAAATACCACAGCTCCTTAGTATACTAAGAGTAAATTGTACATAGTACTGAATCTGAAATGATCTACTAGTGTGTTGTAGGTGGATGTTACTTTAGGCCACGCTTCTTGTATTGTGCAGTACTGGAGAGCCCACCAAAATAGCTCCCATGGAGTTTAGCTCAGCCAGGTCGGCGCGATGCCCTTGGCTCAAAGGAGCAACCCCCAGATCTCTTGCTTTACTGGGCAGCGGGCACATGGCAGGGTGTGTCCTCAGGCTGGCACCAGCACGTGTGGGAAGGCACATCAGGTGGAGGGAGTGAGCAAAGCCGTGGTTGGAGGCATTGTGAGAGGTGTGCTAGCAGCCATGTGTCGGTACAATCGGTCAATATCCCAGCCTTCTTACACGGGGTGCACTTTGGCAAGGGAGTGCTACTAATCTGGATGCTAGCTGCATCCTGCTTCCACTAGGAAGAAAGCTGTTTCTATGGAAGCTGTTGCTGTAGGGATTTTCATGATGCCTAGCTAAAAGCACCCAAACAATGTCTCACTTCTTCATGGGTTTTTTTGTGTAATATGGTTGTGAAGATCTCATGTCTCATAGTCTTTGTGTGGGTTCATCACTGATGACACTCTCAGCTTATTTACCCTTAGGTTTTCTTAAGTAAATAAATATAAATAAAATACAGTATTTTTAAATGACAGAGTCTGGTCCACTCTTCTGTTGCACTGTAATACCCCATAGCACATCTGCTTGTCTCTAGAGAGAGCAGGTCTCTTAACTGTTTGTAAACGTCCAAACTCCATGAATTTATACACTGAAAACTAACCAGTGTGTCTCTCAGTTGGGCAGTAAGGATACCAAGTCCCAGGGCACTGCAGAGATCCTGTTGCTGGGGTTCAAGCCTGTGCTCTTAGCCCAACCCCTTGTTTCCCACATCCCCTTATGACAACTGCCAAGCACTGCAGGTCTGGGGACAGCTCTGGGCAGGTCTGATGCCATGGCCCCGTGTTCACACCTCATTAACCTGTGGTGCATCAGGCAGGATGGGGGGGAAACAGTGGTGCTGGAAAGGAAAACTGGGAGTTCTTGGCTCAAAAAGAGATTACACCTTGTCAGTCAACCCTTTTCCATTTAAACTAAGCTGGAATGGGACTTTCATTACTGGCCATTACAGATGCAGCTGGAATGTGTGTGTATTTCTGTCAAAATGTGTTTGTGTTCCAGCAAAAGCCTCCCCTTGCTGTTTGCTTCTGCTCAACCCATCTGTGACAGCTTCCAAGGCCACCCAAGCACCATTTCTTTCACTGGCTTCAGTTTGTGACACCATGTGCTGAACTTGTTTTCAGTGTTTTGTGAAGCAGCCTTTGCTGTGAAAAAGGGGAGGCTTTGTGGTTTCCCTACAAGGAAACCCATACAAGCTCCATTCCCAAGCCATGTTCACAGGACAGTGATGCTGTTGGGGAGCACAATCTCTCTCTTCCCCTTATGCTGCCTCTCTCTCACACAAATTCAGCAAAGGTTTTTAACTAAATGGGAGATGCCAGTTTGTTAAAGCTTCATTAAGGGAGAAAGAAGGACAAAGCTTTAGCAATACAGTGCAGGAATATAAAAGCCCTGTGGTAGTTTTATAAAGACATTTTATTCATAAAACAGTCTGTATAAAAATATTTACAAATACTTTTAATTTCTAAAGTTGAAATAAAATGCTATTTATATGTCCAAATCTAGATTTTCTTTCTTCTTCCAATGTGCTTTTGCCTTCCTCTTCTGCACTCTTCTCCCAGTAAAGGTAATTATGAAATACCTTCTGCATGAGCAATACCAAACATAGACTGCAGTGTTGCATAGCAGGAGATGTTTGCAGATGTTGTTTCAACAGAAATTTAGTTATTATGTAGGGAGAGAGGGTTCCCCCTCTTTGCCCAGCCCTTGAGAAGGCACAGAATTGCTCAGGGGATCTTGCAGCTGAGCCAGTCTGGTCTTGAGCCTCTGGAGTGTGTCAAAACTTTGTTTCCAAAATGTAACATCTATTTAGAGTACAGCCCCAACATCATGGGATCCACTTCTTGTCTGTCTAGTAAGCTGTTATATGTGTGTCCTATGAGTGCCAGGAAGCAGCTGGTGTTTCTCGTAACCCTGGTTTGTATACAAGTGTGCTTACATGATGCTGCTCACCATTACCTACACATGCTGTTTGAAACAAACATACCCTTGTAGCCATCACTGTGGTATAAAGCTAAACCTAATTAAAATTTGTGTGACCAGAACTAAGTGTCACGCATCTGTCACTTTGAAAAAGGCCTTGAAATACTACTCTTTGGATTGCAATATAGATACTATTTACAAAATGTAATTCTGTCATTTTTCTTTAGGTTTAAAGCCTAAACAGGTAATAAAAAGATATTTAATGTTTCCAGAAAGGACCTGTTTTAAATAAAAGGTTCAAGGTTACAGAATATGATACTGATGCTTAGTTGTGATGCACCTTGCAATAAATTAATGAGTGCTCTGAAATAACCCCAAAAGTTTTGAACAGTGACCACCTCTGTGATTAGGTGGCAGGTGTTTGAATCAAGTGCATTACAGGCATACACCACACTTCTCAAACCCACACTGTGATTCTGTAACCATCCCCACGTGTGACTCGGCAGCCCCAGAGTACCCAGAGCTGCAGGATCCCGTGTGTGCAGTGGGTGACATCTGTGTGGGGGCACTGGAGATGTGAGGCTGCCCTCTGGTAAGCAATGCCTTCCCCATGGAGAGAGGCAATTCCTGCCGGTGGAGTAGGAGTGCTGGCACACAGCTGGCACACAGCTAGGATCTGAGGGTGGCATTGCGCTCCTCCAGCTGCTTCCGTATTTGTGACTGGAACAGAAAGACAGCCCATTACTGCTTGTCGGCGTGCATATGGATGTGGGTGAGTACAACCCACCCAATTCCTGGCATTTTTAAAGGAAGTAGGGTTTTCAAGCCTTTACATTGTCTCCTCATTCCTGCCATCATGTCCCAGGACATGCGGTCTGGGCTGATGATCCATATTGTTTACCAAGCACATATAATGGCATCCTTAGAGACAGAAGTAGTTTTTTCTTACTTAGAGTATGCCTGTAAAAGTGCATCCCAAAAATGCTGAAGTGGGCTTGCAGGCAGATACATTATGCCCCTGTGCATGGCACTGATGAGGCCACACTTCGACTTTGTGTCCAGTTCTGGGCCCCTCAGTTCAGGAAGATGCTTGAGTCCAGGGAAGGGGCTAGATCGTAAGTCCTATGAGGAGCAGCTGATGGAGCTGGGGGGGTTTAGCCTGGGGAAGAGGAGGTTCTGGAGTGACCTTACCACTCTAACTCCCTGAAAGGAGGGCGTAGCTAGCTGGGGTTTGGTCTCTTCTCCCAGGCAACCAGTGACAGGATGAGAGGACATAGCCACAAGCTGTGCCAGGGGAGGTTTAGACTGGACATCAGGAGGAATTTCTTCATGGAAGGGGTTGTTAGACATTGGAATGGGCTGCCCAGGAAGGTAGTGGAGTCACCATCCCTGCAGGTGCTTAGGAAAAGACGGTGTGGCTGTGGCACTCAGTGCCACAGTCTAGTTGACCTGACTGATCAAAGGTTGGACTTGATGACCTCAGAGATCCTTTCCAACCTAATTGATTCTGTGATGATGTGAAAACTGCATATTCCAATCTATCTGGCCTGGCAGCCAGAGCAAGTACTCCCTTGTTGCAGGTGCTGAGAGCTGTAGCACGCAGGTGCCCAGTCCTGGGGGTTCTTTATGCTGGCAGCAGCAGGTGCTGCTGCAACAGTGCACATTGCCTTACCAGTTTCCACCGCAGGATTTTAATCCACTCGTCAGCTTCTATCCCGGTTTTTGCACACAGGTAGTATGTCCTTAGTGGGAACACTAAACTGTAAGTAAACAAAGCTTTCTTAAGTTGCTGGAACAACTGGCAGTTCTCCCCAAAACTGAGCCCAGCTGGCCTGTGCCAACAGTTGCTGAGACAGAGCAGGACAGGGAGGCTGTGCTCCCCTTCAGCCACTAGGAGGGAGGTTAACCAAGAATGGGTGACAGCCTTTTACAGCCCAGGGTCCTTAAGGATAAGGACCGTCCTAAGGATAAAAGGCCCACATTTGAGGACAGAAGAGGTTACCATGTGACCTGTACCAGCATCTGACCCCAAGATCCATGAGTCTAGGTGATGATTATAGATGCTTATGGAATTAAAAATGCTCACTACACATGGGCCCACCTTTTGCCAGAAGTAATTTGGCAAAGGCATGCAGGACTGACAGAGATTGTCTGACAGAAACAGACTTGAGAGTTAGAGGATGAGCAGGGTTACAACACCAAGGGTTTACATTTCAGAATTCCCTTTCTATTTTGAACTTCCCAGCAACGTGGAGAAAATCCTGCAACCTACCAGAAACAATTGACTCTTTCCTGGGAATAGTCAAATTGCACAGCTGAGCATTCAGTTAAGTCAAGTGCTCGAATTGGTTCCGTAGCCTTGAAGAGAAAATGTTTTTAAAATGTGGACACATGAAAACAGAAGATAACCTTATCTCAGTTCATTTTCAGTGGATCTGGACATTTACAGGCACCTCCACAGGTTTTTTCAGGCATAGTTACAATGGCTGTAACATTATAAGCACAAACTAGCAAGCATAACATCAGTGGTATGATAGGAAGTGAGCTTAATATGAAAAACACGGGACAGTTCACATCTGGACAAGAAACAGAGCTCTCTACTGCAGGAATGTTTGAGCTACATGGAGGCTGCTGAGGGTTTGGCTGATGCCTTGTAACATAACTGACACAGCAGCAGATTTGATACCACTTTCAGCTAAGGCTTACAGAGACAAAGGCGTGGGTATAGGTCTTATCAGACTAGCAGCTGTTGGAGATTTAATTAATTCCTAAGTGCCTTAAAAGGGTGAAGCTGGGCAAGGAGAAATGTAGAAGTAAAGCCAAAGTAGTGCTTGCAGCAGAAGTGACAGGGTTGGCTGCCTGAGAAGCACATGTGCACAAACATACCCACATATATATATGTGCATAAAAGTTTCTTTGGACAAGCTTGGGTGCAGGGACAGACTGTGTGTAACAGCAACCCATCTCCCTTAGGAGTTTCACTCTCCCTAGGTGTGAGAGCTCTTCCTCCATTTGTTTCAGTCTCACATTTTTAAGGCCTCAGAAGAGAAAGTTTGATTGCTTTCTGCCCGAACACCCTCAGCTGTTTCCATGGTCCTTCATCAGGTGTATGGAGGTGTCTGTTGCTTTCTCATCTTCCCTTAATACTTTTGCTGACTCAGTGGCTGTTAGTAATACCCTGCATTAGATGGAAGCCCTCCAGGTTGTGGTGTGATACCAAATGCTATCCCAGGGTCAGCTGCAGGCTGCCCACCTGTAAGTACCTGCAGCCCCACAGCAGCAACAGGAGTGCCAGGAGACACTGGAGCTGCTGCCTGGAAGGAGGCCATAGTCCTGACAAACACAGGAATTCTTCTTGCCTGGTAAGTCACTAATGGAGTGCTGCTCTTTGAAATGCTATCCTGCAAGCTTAATTCAAGTTATGTTGAACTGAAATGAAAAGTGATGGACAGCCCTGTAAAAACATAACTGTTTAAAAATGGTAATGTTTGGTCAGGGAGAAGGCGGTTTTCTGCTCTTGTGTAAAAATCTGTTAGAGGCTTGAAATAGGGCTTGGCAGAGGTGAACAGTTTGTCTGCATTTATGAAGGAACCTCAAACAAAGGCATTGTAAGGGCAAAGCGACTCCAGATGTGTTTCTTATATTTACTCAGATCAACATAGAAATGGAGCAGCAGCTCTAAGGATGCTGCAGGTTAATCTTTGTCAGGAGGAATGTTTAAATGAATAATTTGAATGCAAAGGATACTACCAGTATTTTTAGAACTATTTTAACAGCATGCTTTCTGTTGGGCTGTGTCAAAGCTACAAATAAATGTTGTGTTGTGCTGGTAGCTTAAAATTCACTTAACAAAGCAATACAAAATAATGTATTCTAGGCCAAGTTGGGCAGGGCTTGGAGTAGCCTGGTCTAGTGGAAGGTGTCCCTGCTGTGGTGGAGGGTTTGGAAGAAGAAGGTCTTTGAGGTCCATTGCAACCCAAACTATTCTGTGATTCTGTGTGAAAAATCCCTGTAAACTCTATCCTGTTGCTAAGACTGACAGAGCACAGTAAATATTTTCCAGCTGTAAAACTTGCTTTCTCTTGTTGAAGTCATCAACAAAACTGACTTCACTTGACAGGTTTGACCTGTCTGACAGTTTGGGAAACTTTAGCTTCGAAAGCTGATACAGATGTGAGAAGCCAGAGATACAAGGAGGCTGCAGCTGCCTGTGTAGATGTTTAAAAGGTATAATTGGTGTTCGCTACTTACTGTCTGGTCTTTGAAGTACTTAAGTTCATTCCTATGCAGTGTAAACCACCTTGTTTTCCAGCTCTGAAAGATCAAGAATGAATGGTAACTGTCTTGGGAGAGTTTAGTCTAAAACTTCTTAAGAAAGAAAAACTTTCAAAGCTGCTGGCTTGCCCTGGTTTACAGTTGTGCTTTGTTGTTGCTTAAAACACAAATTGTTCCTCTCTGCAGGGAAATACAGGTGGAGCAATTTCAGCTCCATGTTGTCTTTAGCTTCTCTGGGTGACCACAGAATGGAAGTAACAAGTAAGAGTTTTCCTTACCTTGACTATTTTGCCTTGTTTTATCAAATATCCTTCTTTGGTACCGAGCTGTGAAGTAACAAAGAAAGGGATTGAGGTTAGAGGACTGAGCTTGGCTTCTACTTCCCACATTCCCCTCTTTGCCTACATCAGGAAGATGGATCAGTTCTTTGGGAAACTCCCCATATTCACTTGCCCAAATTTCAGTGCTCCCCTTGGGGAGATCCAGCTGTCTCAGGGAAAAGATGGAGCTGTGCTGGCTCTGAGGGCAGCCCCCAGGCTGTGCCTCCCTCAGGGAGCTTCTGCCTGCACTTGCACAGCCAAACACAGCGGAATATCTGCAGTTACACTTCATTTAGGAACACTGGATGGTTGCCTCGGTACATGTTGTGACCGGGAGCACACGGGGTTTAACTGACAGGGGAATTATCCCCAGAAAATGCTCCTCAAATGCAACCAGGGGAATGTGCTGTTTTACTGAGCTGTTCTCTTCTCTCAACCAGGCCCATGCTTGACAGGAAAAACCTGTTATGTTCAATGTTCTTTTTGAAAAATTGGGGTTTGAATTGTTTCTCTGGCATCATGAGTGACACTTTGACCTTATGACTTCTTAGATACTGAAATTCTTTGTAGGGACCTGGTGGTGAGACCTCTGAAAATCAAAATCTTGCCAAGTTACCACTTGTTCTTGAAAAAATATTATATTTTATTGGTGGTGTCTGGAAGTCAAGTTTCTTTGGAGGTTAAAGCGTAAATTGAAGGGTGGTGATGAAGAGTTGGTTGTGAGACACATCAGAAGTGGTTCTTCTTGCAACTTCATTAACCCATATTAACATAACTCTTCCTCTTTCCCCCCGAAAATACAGTATATAATTAAAATACTTTCCTCTCTGTTCAGAGCAAACGGTTCTGGAGAAAGCACCTGTGTCACTTAGACATGAGTTACAAGGGATTTAGAGACTCTAATTGCTGTTCAAGTGAGTCTCAAATGTCAGAAGAGGTGACCCAAATGTATATTATGATATTTTTTTGTGTATGCATTTTTAAAATTAATTATAATTTTAATAATGATAAATTATTCTAAAAGATAACATGAGAATGAAAATCTTTCACATGTTGTTTGTTTGAATAGTCAGACTCACCCAGGTCAGCTGCAGACAATGTTTTTCCAAGGACAGCATTGAAGTGACAACAATTATAAAAGCCTTTATTTGCCATGGGCCTGTACCGATCAAGTCTGTATTTGTTTTGCCTTGTTTGGCAAAGACTCCCTGTATTTACAAACCCATACAGGGATTAATAACCCGTCTTACTCCATAGCTCAGTCCAACAATCATGCTAGACTAGGCCAGAAGCACCCCTCCCACCAGAACACAACTTACTGAGGGTGCATTTGGGACAAGGTCACTTTCTGTCCTTCCTGTCTGCATTGCAGTGTGAACTCGGACGGACTCGTAAATGGAAGGTTCTTCCACTTGCCGTGGGTAGGGATGCTTCAATACAATTAAAGTTCCTGGAGAGAAAAGAGCAGGAGTAAGGCATCTGGCAAGTGCAGCTTAGAAAAGACCTTGTCAGTAGCTAAATCTCTGAAAAATGGTTAATTTCACCTTTTTCTAAAATTAAAAAGGCAGCTGTGAAAACTGTAAATTATGGTACCTTTTCAAAACCTTTATCCTTGCAAATGCTTGCATGAAATCTTTTGACTCATTAAATTCCTTTCCTGCCCAAGAGGCTGGCTTGGAGGGCAGGCAGGATGCTAAACTAGATAGGAGGCCATAATCATTGGGTTTGCCAACATCCCACAGGCTGGTGCTTAAATCCCCTAATCTGCCAGGGCTCTAGCTACAGGCTTCCTAACAGTAAACCCACATTACCATCACCCTCAACTGTTTTTACCACAGCTCTTTCCAGTTAAACTTTTCATTATTCTTCTTTTTCTCCAAGTAAGGTCATGTTTATTGCATGTTCCCTGAGAAAAAAACGGCATTCTCTATAGTGAATGTATTGTACTTTTCAAAATAGTGAAGAACATCCTTGAAATAGTTTCTGCTCCACTGTCTAACCCCATTCTTTAAAAATAATGTCACAGCATACCAAATGTTGCACTATTTGCATTTTATGCTGATATTGTAGCTCTTAAAGAGGAGAGATGCTAGAACTGGTAACAATTTGGACTTGAAACCTACCGATGTATGAGTAATTTACAAGCATTCTGTAATGGGAAGCGCTAAAAAGGGAAGTGGAAAAGTTGTATTTGAAGTAACCAGCTGAGATCTGTTTGCAGGCATAGGGGGTGTATGCAAATGTGATCTATTCAACTTGCTGTATGTGGAAAGTCAACACTGGCTTATTTCTATCTGGCCTTGCAGAAAAATTATGCTTTACCATTTAAAATAAAATTGAGAACAACTCCATCACCATTCCAGAGAAACTACTCCTGAGCTGTTGCACAGAATCAGGATATCACCGTCTGTACACCATGGATAAAAAGCTCCATTGCAGAAGTGAAAGGACTAATATAACATTTTATACAGTATTTGTGTTCTAATAAGTTCTCTGTGGATTTTTTTTTTTTTTTGGCCTCCACAAAGACAATTGTACAGAATAATCTGGTAATTATACACAAGGTCTAGCAAAAGCTGCACTGTAGCAAGATTATTCTGCCACATCTGCATCTGCTGATGCTTGGATTGGAGTTGACTCTGATGAGTCGACTCTGACTCTGACTCTACCTCATTTTTGACAAAACATGGTTATGACCCAGGAGAAATCTGACACCTGTATCTGAAGGAATATTGCCTGAGTGTTAATTCTCTCTTCCTCTCTACTGTTGTCCATGGTATGGTAAGGTGGAAGATGTCTTGATACGATGTTCAATTTTTTTTTTTTTTTTTTTTTTTTTTTTTGGTAGCAATCTGACTTAGAGGTTTCACAGAGCCAGTAGAATCTGATTAGGAAACCTTAAGGTGGCAAGTGTTGATCTCATCCATAGAGATCAGATAAAATGTCTTGCTTATTAGTGTCTGTAACACGTGCAGTGAAGGACTGAGGAATGGGGAAATACACGTTTTTATGTCATCTGAAATCTTTACAGAGCTAGGCCTGTGGGTGCATGCCTGATTTCCCAGGAAAAATACCTCACTGGCACAGAGGATACATGTGGGAGCTCTGTTTTTGAACCACTCTTGAAAGTAATTTAAAAAGAGAGTGTTTTGAAAGATACAAGTGCAAGATTGGGTGTACAACTGCATTTTTCTTGCGGGAAGAAACTGGCAAAGGAGCCCTTGAATTTAATGTTTGCATTAGTAGAGTACTGGTGCAAATTTAGTGTGTGACATGTTACAGTTATTGCATGTGACAACTCTCATTTAACTGGGCTCTTGCATACATAATTAGTACTGCTCTGAGTAATTTGCATACACTTGCCACAGAGGACACTGAAGTTTTTGGCATTAACTTGCACTGACATGGCATCAACTCTTACACTTGAAGCTAAACATAAAACTGACATTGCCATGATAATATCCACTCTGTTTCTCCAGGGATTCTAGTCTGATGGTGTTCAATTCACTTGTAGGAATCAAGTTTAATATTTTGACCCTTTAATTCAGGCAGCATATAGGTTGGTAGAGAAACTTGTGCTTTCCTCTCTCCTCTTAAAAGCGAGAAAAATCACTGTGAAGGCAGATGGCATCAGCATGGTGATGGCACTGCGGGCAGAGCAGGAGAGCTGGTAAAAACCACATTCCCTGCGGGAAAGAGGAGCATAACACTGCAGGCTCCTTCCTTGGACAAAGAATACTGAGATGGAACAATTTCAAGTCGCTCTTCCATTTATTCTTATTGGGGGATTTCAGCTTCATAGATGAGTATTTATTTCCTCATTAACACTGCACTTTGGTTTTGCCATTTTTGAGAATGTTCTAATCCTCTCGGTATTTTGAAATGCTTCCTCCTCTGAGAAACTGAAAGGAGCTCATAGCCCTGGTTAGCAAAAGCCTAATAAGCTTATGTGTGGTTTATCTTCAAAGAACTTGAAAGATTGTTTGAAGTGGAATTTATTTAAATACAAATACAAATGTGATTTATGAACACTTTGGCAGAAGATCTATTTGTTAGCACAACAGAAGCTCCATTTAGTTAGATCTTTGTGAAGCATGGCTATAAATGTGCTCATACACACACTATGTCTCTCCTTACCTGTTTCACTTCCAATTAAAGGCTGGTTTGCAAAATGCATGACCAATTCCCTCAAGCTAGAAAATTCATTAAATCCAAATTTGAATGAAGTTCCTGTGTGCTCAACATGGAAGTGTTTCACAGAATCTTTACCCCTAAAATAAAAGAGGAAAATTTGTCAAGATGTAAATGCCAAAGGCATTTGGCACATACAATCCTTAAATAGCATCTTTCACTACAGGGAATCTGGCCCAGATCACAGACCAATCACTGTCCTAGTAGTAATACTACTGCCATTACTGCCCCTCACTAATATTTAACACATCTGAAAATCAGTTTTTAATTGCTGACTTATAGATATGAGATGATGAAAGCCTGGAAAGGCCAAGTTGGTTAATTTAACTCTTGCATCAACAAAAATACTCACAAAAGAGATTTCAAGCCTTCTGCCTAAATAGGATGAAATCTTTTCACTTACTAGACTTCAGCCTTGAGGGTGTACTTAGTATGTGTCTTGCTTTCCAAGTAGCATCCCAATCTCATTGAAAATGTCCTCTGTTTCCCTTTGAAAAATAGGCTGTCTGTTTTGCACACAAACAGGTCCAATAACCTAATTTTAAATACATTAGGTTTTAGAAATTGTTTGCTTTGTCACTGTATTTAGATGATTGGTTCCACTAGGATGGGCACTGACAAACATGAACCAGGGTCCTTGTTCCGTAAGGGAAGTAACAGCTTTTGTTTATGAAACCTGATGGCATTTAGAGAAGTGTGCAAGACCTCACTTCCTGGGTAGGCAATTATTTTGACTTCAAAATACAGTAGAGCACTTATTGCAAGTATTTATCCAGTGAAAAATTTACTTTTGTTAATGATACTGACATCCAAAATAAAATGTCTGAGGAAAAACTTGCATCACAAATATACTGAAAAAATGTGGTGAAGAAAATTAATTCTAGCATCTCTTTCATTCACTGCCACTTCCAAGGAGGGTTATGATTTCAAACTGGTATTTTAATATTTATCTTTGAACAGTGTTTATGATACTGTAGAAAACAGAAGAAGAAGGCCTCTATGGGTTTACCACATGTTTTGTGCTACAGTCAGCTGGGGCACAATAATCCAAGGGAAACTGCTCAACACCAGGAAGAGCTGCTGTGACTGCTGCAATTACATGGTTTCCATCTTTTTGTTTAATTTCTCAAGACAATGTTGCAATGAGAGCAAATTCTACTCTGCTTCCTACTTCCTTTTCAAACTGGCTAATGTAGCTGGGGGAGGGGATTTCAGGCAATATGAGACCTCCCTTCCTACAGCTGTCAATAAAAACCTCAAGGGATGGCTAAGCATTCTTTCCTTGAAAAACCCCAAACTATAATCATGGCCAAAGTTCCTTGTGAGGCTGAGGCAGAAAATAAAGTAAAAGCTACAGAAGATATTTTAGGACAGAAGGACAGCTAGAATTGCTGAAGTTATCCTTTTTACATAAATGTATCAGAATACTTATTCTAAAATTGTTTTAATATTAGTCAAAAAACTGAATGAAAACATAACATTAAGCAGTACAAAAATTGTAAAACATTTTAAAATCAAAGTCAGTATTCAAAGGATATGTAACACTAGAAACAATAGAAACTAAAAAACAGAATAACAGATCAAACTTCAGACTGAGCTATTCAGTTCATATGGTAATGTAGTAAGTAATTCTTGCTACATGAAGAGCTGAACAAGAAATTGGAATGGGCCTGAAATAGATTTTTGTAGGTCTTCTAAGGCTAGAATCTGTTCAAGCAGCAAATTTATTTTCATTAGCTAACATTTCTGTTTCCTATTAAAAGAACTATTTAAATTTAGGGTTATTACAATAAGTTGTTTCATGAATACCCTTTAAAGCTACCTCTAAGATACATATATTTTTTTAATTGTCTGAGATAATTGTCTCAAATAATGCTTGACATTTTAAAGTAAAAAATATTAACCAGAAAAACAATGATTAATTTAAAACTGCTTTCTTTAAGGAAAGATATTACTTATAAATGCCACTATTCTTTTTGGCAACACTTGCACAGAATTGCTACTCTGAATACTCATTTTGTAACATCACCTTCAGATCTGTTGGGCACCCTTTGTATAAATGGCTGCCTATAGTGATAATAATTTCAACAGTGTGTGTATAGGCACACTTTCTCCAATATCTTCTATCAGAAATGGGTGAGACACCTCATCATTGCCTTTCCTGGGGAACAGGGTATGTGAAAATCAGACTTTGCTCAGTTCCTAAGCATCTACTCTTCCAAATCGTAACAGCTCCTGGTACTGAATATGCAGAAGCCACAATCTCAAGGGCATATGCTGGGCTCCTGTCAGGGATGGAAGTAACCAGCAGCATTACACAGATCAAAGTGATTTTAGAAAGTTACTGTGGTTCAGCTGAGTTGTGGTCATGAATTGTTCAGAAGCTCAGTTTGCAGCAGGAATGAGCTTCCATGCACCAGCTTAAAATTTTGGTCAAGTGGCTGTTTTTATCACACAATTGCCAAAGGTTACAAATATTTTTAGGGCTGGTTACCTCTACCCAGACAATGTGCAGGGTAGAGGTGGGTCTGATGCATCTATCCTTCAGTTTCCTCGCTAAAATGTTGTGCCTTCTCTCCTTCAGGGAGATTCTTTAAATGTGATTCCTAGCAAAGTAACCAGGCCAGGCTTCCTCTGGTTGCATTGGTTGTATCCTGAACAGTTGGGCCCTAAATTGCTGTAATTGACTTCAAGGCCCTGGCATTGATCACTCACAAAGTGTATTCAATTTAGTCATGCAGACCTGGTTAAGACTGAACCTCAGCACAGAAGAGAGGAGTAAAACCAGCCAAACACTGGATCATCCTTCAGAGGTGATGGTTCCTATGCAGGGATTCAGAAACTAGTAAGATTAGCACATGTGAAATATGAAAACATGTGCTGTCCTCATCATAAAACTTTTCTACTCCCACCAGCTGTTTCTTAAGCTCTTTTAACTGAAATGCAGATTTTTATCATGCAGACTGAAAATTTACGGCCATTCTATAGAATTATATTTTCTACCAATAAGATTAATTCATCATTTGGAAAAATGAAAGCAGTTGTCAAATCCAATCCAATTTTTTTTCCTCTAGCAAAATGTCATTCAGTGGGTTTACACCAATATGAATATATTTAATATATTTCAAAATAGTTTAAGCCCTAGGGGGGAAATAAAAAAAAAACCTGCAATGCATGGGACATTCAAACATGGAAGTAAGTGCAGCATTAGATTAGTCCACTCTGTCCATCACCTACCTTACAGAGAGGGAGTACAAATCTTCCCTTTCGTTACTCTTCCTCAAAAGATAGCTCCCATCCCGCCCATTGGAGAGCAGCAGCGCTTCTGCTGCGTGTCGGGTGAGATTGTCGTGGTACCACCTGGGGAGACACAGCACGTTAAAGCACCTTCACTCTGCTCTTGACTGGCTGATGCTGCTTTTTGGAGGATTAGAAAAAGCAGTGTTAATTGGAGTCTTTCTTCTATGATTTTGAATTACCACCCTCCTCACAGGCACTCACAGTTTACACAGGTCTGTGTCCCTTGCAGTGGCTGCCTTTTGACATGGTCAAAGACCTATTTTTCATTAACACAAAGTTGTGTACAAACAGCTGACTGTTTTGCTGGATCTAAAAACCCTGCAAATTCTGCTTGCATGAGCAGCAAATTACTCAGGTCTGTGCTGATAAGATGAAAGCAGTTTGGCGGGGGGGGGTGTATACTGAATCCTTTGTCTATTTTCAGAAGCTATACTTCCTGACATATGTATGCTTTTTGGTACACATCCTCTTCTGGGCAAACCGGCAGTGCTTAAACTCTTCATATACTCTTTATTTCCCTCAACATGCTTTCACTGCCAAGAACTGAAATTAAACATGCTTGCCTAAGCTTAGAATTAAAGGGATCAAAATTAACTGACAAAATGTCAGTGAAAATTAAGATATCTTACTATTGTTGCCTCTTGGCCAAGTATGATCTGAGCAACAAAGGAAAACATCTAAACGTTTTTTCAATTTATCTTCAGTGAAAATTAACTTCATTTTTATAGAAAAAGTTTTGCAAGAACTTCACAGGCAAAAAAAAAATCCTGCAAAGAAGTCCAGGAAGTGTAGTTTATGGGTTTGTTTCCATTCAGAATATTCCACAATGGAAACACCCAAACTTTGACAAGAGCCAGGGATCTCACTGAAAATGAACCTGAGACTGAACACAAAAAGCTGGAGCTGTAAAAGGTTGGAGCTGAAATCCTGCAAGGCACGTGATAATAACCATAGCCATGCACACACACGAGGCTCTGGAGCAGGAGCGAGGGATAGTGCACCCAAGGCCCTGCTGGGACCAGGCTTCCCTTGTCTGTGTGTGAAGTGGTGCCAGGTCACCTTTTCCTTCCTTTTAAATGCCTGTAGCACTGGAAATGAAGCGTGTCACTGCTTCAGCCCAAGAAATACAGTTTCACTGAAAGCAGAAGTGCCATGGCAGCACTTTCCACAGCTTGTATCATGGCAGTCTTCAAAATGAAACCAGGTGTAATTGTATCCTCTATCCCCTTAGCTGTTCATCCCAAGTTTCCACCAAACTTGGCATCCCACACAAAGCTTTAACTCTGAATTTGGACGGCTGCCTATTTGAAAGGCCAGCTGGCTGATGAATTGCTTTATGAGAGACTCCAGACTGTTAACCCAGAGGAAGAGAAGATCCATGTGAAACTCAATACAGGCAGGGCATTGCTGTTCTGGCTCTAGAATGTGGCCCATCTACAGAGTAGAATAAAATAATGAATATTTAAAGAGTCAAAGTGTCATCCTCTGGAGCACCTGTTAGCCAAATCTGCTTTGGGATTAACTGCCCAAGTAAGTAACAGGCAAAGGTCAAATCATTCCTGATGTGGGGAGGATCGAACCAGCATGGCCAGACCTGCAGCTGAGAATGCAGCACTGTTTTGAGTGGGAGTTTGTAACATTATTTACTCACTTCTGTGCAAAAGAAGCAGATGTTGAGAAAACCTGTGAGTGGTCATTGTCACGAAGGAGGCAAATTTAGTCTGAGGTTGCTCATAACTGCCTTGTTACCTTATTTCCAAAAGAAAAAAACCCTTTTACTGAACTTTTGAAAGAGAAGTTGCTTAAGTTTAAAAAAATGCTGTGTTTAAATCCACACTCTCTTTACACACAAAAGACCAGTGACTAATGAAATGCTACTACTATAAAAAAAAAAAGAAAAAAATTAGATAAACCAACCAGAAAACAACAACAAACTCCTTAATTGGGAAAATAATGTTATTTGAAAGTACACTTTTAAAACTTTGCTGACAAGGCTGTACCAGTTTCTTGCCTAAATATGCTGTCTCAGACAAAATTCCCTCAAATGTTACTATGTTCCTCTTGTTCAGCTCAAAAAATAGAAGTGAATGTCTTGGTGTCAAAGAGACTGTTACACGTAGTTATGGGGTTTTTCTCTTCCTGACTGTGACAGATGGTTTGATCAGGTTACTTTGATATTCCACTGTGAAAATGGTCACAAAAACTTTGTTCCAATTGCATAAACACAGGTAAAATATTAAAATTCTGAAGAAAATTCAGAATTTGCACAGACTACCAGGAAGGTAAATAAATGCACGCCTGTGCAGTCTGCTCTCACAATCAAGCCTGAGCTGACAGTACAAGTAGAAATCAGCAGGACTAAAAATAAACCCAAATAATCCTGTGGTTAAACTCTACTAGGTATACTTCAGGTAAATTTAAGTATTTTTCACAGGGAGAATCCTTCTATTTATCTGTCTAAGGAAAAAAAAAAACAAAACAACTTTTAAGCAGTTCTTTGAAAATGGCAGGCAAATCAAGATGGGATTTATGGCTCATTTGGCAAAACTGTAAAAGGCAGTCCACCTTCAGCTGGAGTTTAGGTTGTCTTCGAGTTACACCTGGGGCAGGAAACTGTTGATACAAAACACAATACTGTATCTACCTTCATCCTGTCTTAAAATGAGACATTAAGGAAATCAAAATGCTTTACAAACACCCATCTCATTGAAGCCCCTAGAAAGTCCTTCATAAAGTTGTAATGTCTTAAATCTTCGGTTTTGAACATGGTGGATAATGCTGGATAATCAGGATGTTTCTGAAGGTTCTTCCAAAATTCATCTTTATAGATTCTTGTATTCACTACAAAACAAGTTCAGAAATATGTTCTGTACTTTGACACCTTTCAGACTGAAAACCATCAGTAGTGTAAAAATTATCTGAGGTTCTTGACTGAGATTTCTCTGAGAAACACAAGAAGAAATATAAAAGAAATTCCTTCCTTGCTTCAAACCCACTTCTTCTGGCTGCCCTTGGCCTTGTATACCCTCCTGATATGTATACAAACTTCTGGGAGGTTTCTATTTTCTAATTATTTCATTTTCCTCTATTAAAAATAAAAACTGTGGTCAACGTCTTGGGGTTCCCTTTCTGCAATTTGACTAGCAATCTCAGGCTCAGAGTTTATAGCTGATGTCATTTATCCATTCTTGTTACTTTAACTTCATCCTAAATGATGTTAAATATCTTTATCCTGTTCTATGTAAGCATGCTTGTGTTGCCAGTGTGTGTTGTTGAATGACCATGCCATCCTTGCTGCTCTTTGGAATGGCCAGTGAAGGCATGTCCCAGGATGGGCAAGCACAGCCACTGAGATCACTTTTGCTGCCCTTTGAAAAAGAAACCATTTTCAGACAGAATACACAAGGAATACAAACACTCATCCATGCAAGGGTGAATGCTGAGTGACTTGCATAATTCTCTTCTGAGCCATTTTTATCTGCAAACTGTGTAACATCCAGTAGAAACACTTGTTTTTCTTCCGCACAAAAATGAAAGATAGTAGCACCAGGAGAACAGAGCTGAGAGTTCTGGCTGCTATTTGGTGTAAGTTTGGAGTGATCACTCTGCAGTATGCCCAGCTACCAGATAAATGCAGTAGGCAGAGGTCACACTTAGTTTTTGTGTCCTTATCAGATGTTCTCAGACAGGTGTAGCCTGGATAGAATAGAAAGAGTGTCCATGTTTGGCTTGCTTTTGTGACAAAGTCAGGCAATTCAAAGTTCCTTCCATGAAGCAAGAAGGAGGTTCCTGGTGTTCAGCTGGGTGAGCTGTGCTCTCTTCCCAGAAGCTCCCTCCCCTGCTGCAGCAGGGGCAATAGTGCTGGAGCTCTATTGGCTGGAAAGCACTTTGGCTCTCTGAGATGCAGGAACCAAGCAGAAACACAGCAAGTCTGATTCATCTCTTGTCCACCTCTGAAAGGTAACAATGACCCAGATTACTGGGAAGATGAGCCACATGCTCCCAGTAGGACTTCACTCCAGTAGCACTCACAGCAGTTATTTACCCTCAGTTGGTTGACTGGATTTTTTGTTGTTTGTTTGTGGGGGTTTTTTTGTGGTGGTAGATGTTGGCAAATTTTGTGTTTTGTTGTTTGGGTTTTGTTTTAATTAAATATATCTTCTACCACAAGGAGTTGAATTTGCTTACACGTTGAAACTATATTCTAGCCTCAAAGATGTATTCCCACTCTTAGGTTAAAGCTGTAGTCCACAGTACTGCTTGATGGAGTGCATGGGAAAGCACTGACTTATCTCCTCTGGCTGGATGCAATGCTCTTCACACGCCTGTGCTCCAAAAATTACTGTAAAACTGACTCACTAGTTCTCTATTTTTGGCACCCTGTATTTCAGCAACTTCCAACTCTCATCTGTCAAGTTTAGTAGTTTGGGATTTTTAATTTTTTTTCCTAATATCACCCCCTAGAAGCATTGCCCATCATCTGAAAATTGCAAAAGGGTTCTCTGTACCTCACATCACTAAAAGTGAAGTTTTAGCCGTGTTTTTAATGGTGCATGAGTTGACAGAGCTCTAGAGAACCTCCAAAAGGGCAAGAATGCTAAGACAGAAGTTACAGGTGCCAGGCAACCAAATTGCCTTTCAATGTGTTACACTGAAATTCACAAAGCTGTGTAAAGTACTTGGCTGGAATACAAGGAGGTCATTACATGAGGGAAAATAATTTTTAAATAGAAATAAGAGGAAATAACATCATTGTATCCAGTCTCAAGGTTTGTCTTCTAACTGTAGACTTTCACTAGTTCAGCTTCTGCTTTTCACTTCCATTTTCTCTCCTCCTTCTTTCAACTGCCTTCATTCTGATTTTCACCCATTATTTGGCCCACTTTCTAGTCACTTTAATTTTTATCTTCCTTAAATTAGAAAATAGGGATGAAAAAAAAATCTTATCACCCTTTACCCTGTTCAGTCTAACATATTCCTCGGTTTCACAATTTTATTATCACCTGATCTAGGTCTGTGGCTTAATTTCTCTTCTATTGCTAAAACTAAGCATGAAATGTATTGTCCAGCCTTACAAATATCATCTGTCATGGTATTGTCAGACCTGAAAGGGCATAAAAGTTCTGCTGACAGGAGTGACAAGGAAAGTTTGGACTGTAGAAGGAAAAAAGGCTACAAAAATTTAGTTTTGCCCTGTGCCTTTCACTTTTCATTAACTGTTTCACCCAAACTATGCTGTATTGGGATGCAACCTGTGCCACCAGAGCCGGCTGTAATTACTGGGATGACGGGACGCTCCACATTCTCATCTCTTGCGCAAATAACCGCCACGCGGAATTCCCCAGCCTCACGCACTACGTGCACAGCCACAGGAGCTCCTCACTGCAGATTCCTGGCTGTGTTTTCAGCTCTAACAGCAACAAAGGCAACTGGAAAATGGATTGACTCCAGCAATAACCAAAGAGGCCTTCAGAGAAGAATCCCATTGTCAGTTTCCTTTTAAGCCAAGGTGCTTATGTCTCTTCTGGCAAACTTCAGTGTTCCCGTTTAAACATTTTGGTAGATTTAGGGACAAAGCCAATGGGTGAGGTAACAAGTTTTTAACAACGTGTTCTGGTTTTGACCTTCCTTTTCATTAAGCATTAGGTTCACCTATATACACATCAATACAATGAAGCTGACTGTAATTGGAATTTTCCCTACATTGCTGACAACTTTCCATTCTGTTGAGCAGCTAAGCTAGTAAACTACGAGCATATCCTGGTACTCAGCCTTTTTTTCTCTTTAGAGTAAAGTCCTTCCCATTTCACACTTCTTTAAACCTTATCCAACTTCTTTGATTTTTGCTCCAGAAAGCAGAAGCTTTAAAATAAACTGCTTCATATTCCCCCACAAGGATGAATGTTGAAGCTGCCTCTCATTTGAATGACCATTGTCTCTGTCAGACACACACTCCTCACCAGAACCAGATCTCAGTTGTGCTGGACACTGCATCAGCTGTCAGGGGTACTCTGCACTGTGAGAGTAGGGGACTAAGTTTAGGATGGAAAACCCTTGTGATGACTGAAAATTTAATTGCATGGTCTGGAGTGCGATACACCTACTTGTCACAGCTGAAAATATATTTACATTAAGCGATCTTTCAGATTTTGCAACAAGAATGTCTGCTGCATGAGGACTTCTTTTGCATCTTTAGGCAAAAAAAGAAAAAAAGAGAAGAAAAGCAGCTTTAGTACTAGCTGAAAATAAAGGGCCTTGTTTAATAATTTGAAGGGACTCTTTTACCTGGCATTGCTTATTCAACTTTAACTCAACACACTTCCCTGAAGGAGATGTTGAGTGTTCTGTGAACGGGTGAGAAGTTTAGGTTTTCCATTGAAGTGGAAGTAAAATAAAGAAGGTACAGCTTTAAAAATGCATACTTGTAGCCCTCTAATTTGTACTCTTTCCTTCTTATGGATACCACATTAAGTACCACATCAAGCTGTATTTCTACAAGACTATCTATGAGGATGAACTCCTTGCTGTTTATAGGCAGATGTTACTAGCATATATTAACTCTGATCACATTGTAGAAATCAGTAAAAGTCTGGTAATTGGGAATCATGCTTCCCACAACAGCTGCAACTCATTTTTCTTTCCTTCTTCCCTGTAGACTGTTTCAGGATGAGCGGACTCTTACAGTTGTAAGGAATAAGTATAAAATGGCTACTCTGGGTACCACTGCAAAGTGACTTTATTGAATTTCGTACCTGTTAGGTGCTTCAGTTACCAGACATTTCATTAAAAGGTTCTTTTAAATATGGGAAAGTAGTACCAGTGTGCAGATGGAGTGCAACAAAGTAGCTTAGAAACTCTAATTTTTTCACTAAGTGAATGAATCGTAAAAATAAGTAATTAATTGGTCCAATTCCACAAATACTCAGGTAGTAAAACACCTTCACTTTTTTCATTATTTCTTTTTGAATGCAGAGCTGACACCAGAGCCTTTTTGCTTTGTCAGAATGATCACTGGCCTTTCCTTTGCTTTGCCTCCCTTTTGCTCTGCTGCCACTGATCCCACCCTGCCTGCACCACCCGTGCTGCTCCAGCCTGTGTTTCTCCTTGCCCACGGCAATGCTGCTGTGACAAAGTGACCCAAGCCTTCCTCCTGTAGAAACCAAAACTAACTGGCAGAAAAAATGGGCAAGCCACATACGACAGGGAACAAGGTCTGTTGCAGCCTTCCTTTTTGTTCCTGGGTTTTTGCTTTTTGGTGAGCATGATGGTGAGCCTCGCAGTGGCTGTGAATTGCCCGCTGCTCTCCCTCCTGATGCTCCAGGCACCTTTGGGAGTCCTGCTGCCTCCCGGGGCCCAGCAGGGACAGCAGCTCCCCAGAGCAGAGCCCAGGCTAAGTTACAAGGAGGCAGCTGAAGGGATGGCACCGGCAGGGCGGTGAGGACAGGTGTGGGGTCGGTGCTCCCTGGAAGCGGCGCGGCACAACCTGGGCTCTATCCGATGGCGATGGCTTCACGGCCACAGAGGTTCTCCGAGGGACGGCGCACCCGTGCCACCAGCTCTCCTCTACATCCGAGCCGTGTGCCTGAGCTCTCGGTTTTCTAACTATTCTTTATTTCTCCCGCTCCCCCGTGCCAGCCCCTCACCCCTGCCACCGGGACGAGGCGCTGGGCTTCTCCGAGAGCGCGCAGCGCGCACGGAGCGCTCTGGCGGCATCGCTCAGACCAACCCGGCGTTCCCTCCTCATCCCTCACTTCACCCCCGACATCCACCAGCCGGGCCCAGCAGCTCCCACCGCGCCAGCCCCGTCGGGTGTCCCGGCACGCCCGGGGCTGTCGCTGAGGGTGCCCTGGAGCCGCTTACCCGAGCGCCATCAGCTCCCGCTCCAGCGGCGCGGCGGGACGCGGCTCCCGGCGCTGGGCCATGCTCCGCGGCTGCTCCGCCGCCTCCGCGGGGCTGAGGAAGTGCGGCCGGCACCTCCCCGGGCGGGCCCGGCCCCTCCCGGCCCGGCCCTCGCCGCCCCGGAGCGCCCCGGCCCGGGGGGAGACCCCCACCCTCGGCAGCTGCAGCCAGAGCCCCCCCGGCTCCCAGCGGTGCCCCCGTACTGCTGACACCTTGGTTTATGGCCAGAATGATTCACACTTCCCGCTGCTTTCATCTGTCTCTCCCAGAAGTTCGTGTTCCAAAACGTTTCGTCGTCCGCTCGTTTTTCTCCGGCGATCTACCAGTGAATGCCCCTCGCCTTTTCTGTGTCCGCCGAAGTGCTCAGCGGGGAAATCTGTGAAAGTTGTGGATCATTCTGTAAGCGTCAGGTGTTCAATCCTGTCCCCAGCCAGCCCCCAGAGCCCAGGGGGGCTGTGGCTTGTCCCTCCGAGCGCATCTTTCCATGGCCCAGCCGCTGGATTGCTAGGCAAGGGGGATGCTGCTTGCCCAGGGTCTGCCTCGCCACGGCCCCGGCGCCCTGACCCCTGATTGCCGTGGTGATCCTCCGTGCAGGCTTTGAAGGGGTCACGCTGTCTTTCTGAAACAGGAATAGGAACTTAAATGCTAGAAATGTACAGCTTTATTCCCTCTTTGGAAGTATCAGGAGGACTGAACTTTTTGGATGAAAAATTTCTGAGAATTATCTGGTGTCTGTTCTTTCTAATGCTTAAACGATCTCTGGCAATACTAGAGGTTATTTGTATTCCCCAATACTTCATGGACAGTATTTATTATAGGTGTGGCAGATTCCTCACTAAAATTTTTTGAAAAAAGGTCAGGACTCCACAGAAAAGAAAAAAAAAAGATAAAAAAAAAAAAAAAGAAACATGGCAGAATACTCCTTTCCAGTCATACTGAAGTTTTCACCAGGTATCCAGTACTAAAGATCATCTGTTTCCAGAAAAACTGGTATTTAAAGAGGATGGAACAGCTACTTATTTTCCCACAAGCAGTCAGTCATATGAACTGCATGCTCAGTGTGAAGCTAAGAGTCATTTGGAACAGGATTTTTTAGCCTGCAGATCCTTCTGGTCTTGGGGAATCAGTTTTGGAAGAGCTTTTCTAGCTCTTTCAAATGGTAAAATCTTCAGAGATGTTCTGTGTGCCAGATCAGACTGTGCTTTGAGCTTCTAATTGTGGTTGCAAGGTGCTCTGCTTCTGTACTTACCTATTCATGTCCACAGGCAGACATTTAGTTGTAGATAAAGATTTTGCAAATAAGTTTGGTGGTTTTTTTTCCTTACTAGGAAAATGTAATTTTTTAGTGGGGAAAAAAACTTTTTTCCTTTTTCTGAGTTTGCCCCTTCCTCTATTGCTTGTTGAAAGCTTGTGATCTGATATTCTCTCTGGTAACCTGACTCTGAAATCCACAACATTTGTTAAATAGATGCTTTGCTGTCTCCAGTGTTTGCTTGTATTTGCTGGATAGATTTATTTATTGTTGTTCTCTTCTGGAAGCTGCTGTGTTTGATTTCTGCAGTGATTAACCCATTCCAGATTGTCTTGTCTGTTCTACTGATAGAGGCAGAAAAGCACCTATGACAATTTCTGGGTTACAGAGAAAAAGGCACAGAAGGAAAAATTAATTAAATTCCAAACAACAAAGATCCACAACTAAATTTCAGTAAGTTCTACTTATATCACAAATGGTCTTCAAAGTTTAGCAGTGCAGGCTCAAAAGTGGTTTCCAGCCCTTGTGTGCATCATTGTGTTTTGTGCACCAGCGTGTTGCGGTGGGAGGGGGTTTCCATCTGGGAGCAGACACTTCCTCTTACTCTGCACCTGAGAGTGCAACGTTTCCTCTTCATTTGTAGAAAAAAAAAATTAAAAAAAAAAAGGCAGAAATTGTACTCTCATGCAGCAGAGACCGTCTTTCTCTTGAAGTCTACTTGATTTTAGGTTTTTAGCACAGGTTAGTCATTGGACAGAAAGGCTGCAGACTGCCAGCTTGCACTTCCCCAAAACCAGAATACTTCAGTGTGTGTGTTTTGGTCCTCATCCCCAAGCACAGCTATCCCAGTTGGAGGAGTGGTTCCGTGTGCAGTGTGAGTGCTGTGCAGAGCAGACCTGTAGATAGCAGCAGTGCTCTGGTGCTTGCAGCTCAGCCCGAGCGCTGCTGGCCACAGAGCACCTCCAAAAAACAGTTTGGCTCTCTACTCATCCCCACACAGCTGTCAGTTTAAAACCAAAGAGGGATTCAATTTAAAAAACCCAATCTCTTCAAGTCTTTCTTGAATAACTGCACCAGCTCACAGGAAACAAATGCCAAACCACTATTGTTTTAAATTTAGGTCATGAAAAACAGAAGAGCTATGGCCATCAAAATGGGGAGGGTCACTAATGATCAATACATGTGCAAGTATTCCTTGTGTTGTGTCACACTAGGTTATTCCAGAATACCACATTTACCAGCAGACTTCAAAACCCAGTGAATGCTTTACAGTGCAGCCACCAGGTCTCTCAGTTCAGCAGGTGCTTGCTTTTATGACAGTGGTTTTGGAGAAATCTGTGTGTTGTGTTTGGACAGAAATTGTGGGATTGCTAGGTGAGCTTATATCACATGTCCTGCAGGTGGTCAGGTCCCAGGATCATGATGGTTCTTCCAGGTTTTTGAGTTTTTATGCAGCAATTGTTTAAAACTGTTTGAAAGGTTTATTTTTTTTTTCAGGTAGCTGTAATTATGTACTTTAAGATATACTAAATTAATAAAGGAGAATTTGGCTTAGGTAGGCATATGACTAATAAATAGATATGATTGCTGGAAAAGTACAATTAAGTAACTCGTTACTTGACAGAACGTGGTAGGAAATAATTGAAAAATTAATTTTTTTTCTTTAACTATTTCACATTCTAATAACCTGAATAGATTACAGATAGCTATGAACCATCCAAACAAAGATGGTCAGTAACAAAGACAGTGATTTCACCCAAATGAAAGAAAAAAACTCCAGAAATATCACAAAGCCATTGTTAACATGACTGGGATGAGGGGCAGGTTAGGATGGAGCCCAGTGGGCACCTGCAGAATACGGATTTCCTACATAACAGAGAATTGGCCATAGATTTATTCCTTTTAAGGTGACTGATAATTTTGCAGTGCCCAAGACATTTAATCTCTATTATACTCAGGTAGGACCCCATGGGATTCTGTGGAACCCTCTAAAGCAGCTGCAGGAATCTTTCCACTGTGTTCAAACACAGGATGCACACTAAGATCATCTTCTGAAATTAACTAATGCTTCCCTTCTGAGTGTGGCACAGATTGTCTTGGAATATTTATTGGAAACAATTGTTATGCTGGAAAACACTTCAGATACTGGATATCAGCATAGTGATGAGTCTGCTTTATGGATTTTGAGGCACCTAAGGCACGTTTATTCAATGTGTTTCTAATGCCCACAGTCAACATGTTTCCAGACCATGCCCTGTGTTGGCTGCAATCTATTCAGATAGGAAACACAGAACAGTGGTGAGAAAGGGAATTTGAAGTTACCAAAGTTCCTAGGGGGAAATGGCTTGAAGACAGATTGTGCAAAAGGGAGGGTTGTTCTTGCCCCATTTTCTCCACAGTCTGGGTGGGGCAGGGCTTCTATAGCTAAAGATCATAATAATTGTGTTGCTGACAGGGTTCATTCCCCAGATTTGGATAAGGAATGTGTCTCCACCTAGGCACAGCAAGAGGCACAACAGCCATGGCCTCCCAAGCCTTTGTGGAGTTTCCTGCCAACTAGGGTAGGCCCAGCCATGTCACAAAGGAATATGATTATGTATGGGATCCCACAGATATTCATTTAACAGTTCAGTTTTATCAGTCTCTTAACTCTGCCCTTAGTAAAAAAACTAGCATTCTTTGTACTCTTCATAATGTGACTTTTGGGACCAAATGTAGTTATCATTTCTATCATCATGCACTTTCTCCTCTTGTTTGCTCTAGGAAATTCAGCTACTCCTCTAGGGCTAAGTGCAGGAAGATTTTTTTTCTCTGGTTTTGAACTTAAACAGGGACACAGAAATAGTTTCCCTTGATGCTTGCTAAATTTTCTCCTAGTCCTTGATTGCTGTGTGCATTACCAGGAGCTGGATCATGTATATTTTGAGATGATGGTGGGAAATTAAACGCCTGTAGCTAGAACAGCTGTGTTATTGCATGTGGTTTGGTTTTCACAGTTCCAATAATGTGGATAATGATGTGAAGATTATATGTTTCCACTTTCAGTTCTACAAGGAAAACTTTCTAGGAACTTTGTCAATCCACTCTTTAATGTGCATGTGTGCTTGAAGTCTTCAACACATTTTTCGTGTCTTCTTAGGCACAGCCAAAGTCTCTTTAAAACTTCCCACTTTAGAGCAATGTCATGCTCTCTGAAAAGATGATGTACAAATGTTTTTCCTGTCCAGCCAAACCCAAAGAAATAAACCCAAACACCTAGAAATTATCTTTAAATTAAAAAATTTATGGATGTCAGTGGCTGTTAGTGGCAGCATACATGAGGAGGTGGGGGAGAGCAGCTCTTGTTGCCAAAGGCCAGGTGAGGGGCAAGGTTGGAGACAAGCAGCTCCTCTGTGTGCCATGTGGTGCCTTGAGCCAAGTGACCTGCTGGTGGTTCAGCCTCTTTCCAAGAGGAATCAGACCTGGCTGGCAAGTCTGTGCTCAGAGACTACCCAGTAATTGAAGATGTAGGGAGGAGGAGCCTCTGCAGACTCCAGGTGGGGAGCACCTTCAGGGCTGGAGACCTGAATGTCCTCCCACCAGGAGTCACTCCAGGGATTCCTGCTTGCCTGTGAAGCCAGCCCATAGCTCTGTCCTGCAGCAAAGCCCAGGGTGGCAGCTGTGGAGCTCTGTTCTGGCTCCCAGCTCCTCGCAGACACATTACAGTACCCGTGGTCCATCCTCAGGTAGAGACTGCACCCAGGGTAGGACTGACCCCACACACCAGTGTCCACCATACACGAAAACTGATGGAGATGCAGCATATGATTTAGGCTTTGGTAAAACTCTCGTGAAAAGCTAGGTTTAGGTAAAAGTGTCATAAAATACAAAATGAAACTGTTTAAACTAAAGATGGGGTAAGGGAAAAAAAGGCTGAGAACAGTCTTACTTGCTGTTTTGTAAATCTGTTTGGTGTGTGATCTTATTACAACTCATAAATTGTGTTTTTTTTAATTTTTGCTTTTTGCAGCTTCAAAGTTTATGTTCAAATAACATAAATCATTATATATATAATAAATAACATATAATAAATAAAATAACATATAATAACAACAACAATAATAATAAATAATACAAATATATCTGTGCACTATCAAACTTGATAGCCCTGTCACCTTATGCAACTGTTTATGGATACAGGGACAAGCTTTAGGAGTAATACCAAGACCTGAGTAGAAGGGAGCTCAGAGAAAGAAATTATTTCACCCAAATAAAATTATGTTACCCCAGTAGCTCTGAAAACATTTGAATGTTACATCATTTTGCACTTTATGGGACTGCTGATGCATAAAGCAGGATACTGAGAATCTGGTTCAAAATGGGGATGCAGCTTGCTTTCTGAGAACAGTGATTGCAATTATCGTGTCTTTTGCTTGCAGAGGGAGCATGGGTTAATATGTTGACATTATGTGAACATAATTTGTTAGGGTTATCTCAGAAGACATCTTGCTGGAATTACAGATGCCAGGCATTTTTCAGTGCCTCATCAAAAGCACAGTTCACTGCCACTTGCTTTAATTTAAGGATGTATATGCCTTGTGGCAGGTCAATTTTTTTCCTAA